CATCTTAAGAAATAGCCGGAACAAAATCCTCTCACAGACTGCAAACGAAACAACCAAATGTAAGCATGCCATGTAGTCTGTGCCTCTTAGATAATTGATTCATTGCAAAAAAAATAAATTAAGTGAAAATAGTATTCTTTCGACTGATAATGTGTTTGGGTACCCAACAAATCTATCAGAAATCATAATATTCGTCGCGAAAGTTTACATTTTGGATATTAATCCTTCACGGACCGCATTAGAAAATTACAAACTAGCAAACTCTGGAATATTCCTTCGTAACGAATTCATGCAAGGTACATATTGTGCGCGCATTATAAGTCACAGAGCCGACCACCTTAATAGGTGGTCACGCAGCATTTAGCAGAGTTACACATTAACTCGTGACCCGTCAACAAAGCGAGCTCGCGCTGCCTCGCGGTAGCCGGTGGCAGTGGACTAATGCGACTGGCTGGGTCGCGCTGTTCGACCGCTCCCTCCCTCCCTCTCTTCGATGTCAAGCGACGAACGGGCGGGTTTATACCGCGTGCCTGTTCGGCAGGATGTCCGACGTTTCGTCGCACGCGCTGAGAGCCTCATCCGAAGACGAAGCTTGTGAAGATGCTCCCAGGACCACGCAGTGAAAAGTTGGACATCGGAGAGCTTAGGCAGCCCGTTGATATATACGTGCCCATGACTACGCAATGGCCATAACCTCTCGATAAAGCTGTATACCATGCCACAGCACTGCCAAGTAACCCGGCATGTTTCAATTCACCAACCCCCCCCCCGTGCCCCCTCCATCGCTCCCTCGGGAGTGAGTTTTAGAATTTTCATGATTTGGGGGTCACGAGTCTTGCCTTGTTTTTACAAATCTCATTTGTATTGGCTTTTTTCAGTCCATGCAGTTTTGTTCGCTATGTGAGCCTAAATTTGACAATGGCATATAATTTCCACATACGTTGAAACATGATCATTTCTAAACCCCGTGATTGCAATGCATGTCTCGTGAACGTAAGAATCGATATGAATCGATGAAACAATGCATACACCATGTTGCGTCCAGACACATAGAAAGCCACAAATGGACCTCGAAGCCGTGGCATGTGAATCCACGAATTGTGCCATTGCAATGCCAAACGCACAGGAAATACAAAATTCTCGGGCACGTGGCCTTTTCGCAAATGCTTTCCTCGAATTATACAAATCCAGAGCGGGGGGAAAGGGGGATAGAGTGAGATGATATCCATCTCCCTTTATGAAGGTGCTCACTGGTCTAGCTTCCTTTCCAGGAGGGTCCTGGACGAAGATACTTGGCTAATTCCTTTCAATGAGCATTTGGCATGTGAGAGAAAATATGAGAACACGGAGAAAACGAATGCTTTCGACGTGCTATCACTCAGCACTGCCATCTCTTTGTTACCTTCCAGCCCCGAGCCTAAGATAATCAGAATAATCCCCGGCAATCTTCCATTCAAATATTAACCAAGCTCAACCCTGCTTGGCTTCCAACATCTGAATGAAGCTACTGTAACATAAATACAGAATTTGAATACATACATCGAGTCATGATGAATGTTGAACTTCCTTCGCACCGTACCTAGTCAAGCATGCTAATCGGAGGTGCGGGAAATGTCACATTATCATGATTTCAGCCTTGACTAAAAAATAGACACTTTCATTTCTCGGTACTGTTTATACAAATAAAGATGCGGAAATACACTGTACGACCACCGTTGCAATGTGTTTCTGTCTAGGCATGAAATTAAGGAAATAAAAATTATTGGCAAGAGAGACAGAAAGGAAGTAAAGTCAGAGGGAAGAAATGACGCTCATGAAATGCCACCATGGGGAGGAGAATGAGAAGTAATGTAGTCACGCATCAAGGGCAAGGGCACACATTGGAGTGCTGTATTCTCAAGATGAATCGACACTCAGTCCAGGCGCGTGATCTTTGTGGTACTGTGACGGGAGGGAGAAAGAGAAACGGGGTGGACGGATCACCGTGACCCGGTACAGCCCCCCTTAAAAAAAAAAAACTTGGCAATGGATGGCTACGCCAGCCAAAAATATTTCTCTTAATAAGTAAAACAAATCTGTGTGTGCACCTCAAGCAAGTAAAGAAGGTCTCTTAGCCGGAAGGGAAAAAAAAACCCAATTGACTGTTTTTTCATTAAGGCGTGGTTATATCATGCTACTTAATACTCATACAAATGTATACTGTACAGAAGAATGTTTCTCATCCGGCTTGACTTCTGGGGAACGTGAAGTTATAGAGGCGGATATGTTAACATCTATAGAAAACGAGTTGAACTGTGCCCATGTGGGTTGCTGGGAAACATGTGGAAAGCGGAAACTGCTTTGAACGTGGTGAAATGCTTTTTATAAATCAAGTGGCTGTGTGCTCGATTGATATTAACATTTCTGTACGTGAAAAAGGTCAAAATATTTTGCCATTAAATGGAAGCGAGAGCACGTACAAACACCGCACTGGGGGTATGGGTGGTTAAAGAATCTGGGCAGATATCTCTGACGGTCGGATTTACACCGTTTTTACTGTATTTAAAATTGTAGCAAAACATGATAAAACATATCCAAAAAACATGTAACCTTTGTGTAAAACCAAGCAAGGCCATAGTTAATCAATAAATATTACATTCATCAGCATTAGACCTCCTTTGCCAGTACCAAAATGTATGAATAGGGGTTTCCCCCTTTTCTCTGGCAACAAAACTGAAACCTTTTTACAAGGATTCATGTCTGCATTAACCACAATACCTGCAGTCAAAATGCAAACAACAAACATACTATGATAATATATGCATTGTCCTTGAAACTGATTGGTCCACACCAAGGGACGGCTTTCTTTTGAGCCTCGACCCATTTGGTGCTCGACCAGATGACGCCAAAAGGCGTCCCTTGGTGTGGACCAATCAGTTTCAAGGACAATGCATCATATATTATCATAGTATGTTTTTCGTTTGCATTTTGACTGCAGGAATTGTGGTTAATGCAGATATGAATCCTTGTAAAAAGGTTTCAGTTTTGTTGCCAGAGAAAAGGGGAAAAACCCTATTATTAAATATTACATTTGTTTAGTGTTTCGTGTCTTTAAAGGTTTTATTTTGCTCATAACCTTTCCATCAGCAAGGGCAAAGTAGAGATGAATCATGCTGGAAGACTAAGTCAAATGCCTGGAAGCTGCCAGTTTCTTAGAATTCGCCCCTCTCTGTGTGGCTCACAGACAAACACGTTCCCTTTCACGAGTTGCTAATTTAGTACTGCGCGCATTACACAACACGCGTTCCGATGTTTTCCACTGCCGAGTGTGTGGGTTAACGGTCGGGGCTCGTAAGATGGCGAAGATGGAATCTGTGTAGAGTGCACGCCAGATTACTTGTGTCAGTATGAATGTGCTTGTAAAAAAAAATCTGTATGCTGTACCCTATATTGAATACGTGGGTGATAGGAATGAAGGTGACACAATATATACACAGTCGGATGAGGGCTTTGCTATGCCGTGCAGGTCACAGTAATTATTTTCCATCAGCCACCAGCAGAGGTGGCCGTCATCCCGTTGATCCTAATGCGCAACACTTCGAGATGTGACCAAACTTGTGGCGTTCAAGTGGAAATTGGGCCGATACCCTTGGGGTGCCTCTGCTGTCATCATCTTCCTGGTCCCGTGGGGGCCATGATGTGCACGGGCAAGCAAGACCATCGCCTTTGCAATTCGGAGTGTGAACATTACCGACGTGCCATCGTGTGAGCCCATTGATCGTGGTGGCAATTCGGAGGCGGAGTAAAACGTCTCAGTCAGTCACTTAAAATCAAGAGGGCTCAGGGTGTTCAGTTGTTTGGCTCCCTGTTTCTGGATCTTTCTTTCAATGCATACGATGTTACTGGCACAACTATACGCATGTATATAAATAGTTTTACTTATTTAATTTCAACTCAACGCGAGCCCGGTACAGAGCAATAATCGCAGAACAAAAATGGGTGGGTGGGGGCAGAAATTCCGCAAACAAAATCCCGAGATAGGCGCGCCAGGGTTTCGTGAAGGGGGAAGATTGGGCGGCCAAAAAACGTTATCTTTTAAATGTCATTAAAAAAGTCCTCCCCATGTAGGTCTTCACGGCTGCAATGTGGGTTTACGGGTTGTCATGTGTTGCTGTTGTTCAGCCCGACTTCTCACATTTCGCTCCACGGGCTGGGAGCTTCTTCAGCATGTGGAGCAAATTGCCAATCAAGATGTTGCATACAACCCGAAAAACTTTTAGATATTAAATTCGGAGAGGTCACTCATTGTGGAGCCAGATTGATTGGGAATGGCTTTGCTATTTTTTTTAGAAAGCACCCTTGGTATGCGCTGCATGAAGATTGACAATTTATTTTCTAGATTGAAAACTAATTTCTTGAGAACTGATTTGTGTTAAGTTTGTTGTCCTCCCCCCGCACCTCCAATTAGCAGGGTTGACTACGTACGGTGCGAAAGAAGTTCAACATAGTACATACAAGGTAAAGGTGCTCACGCCACTGCGAGTGGAAAGACAGGGAACCCTGGAGGGTACTGGGTCTCCTCTTCTCCCACGTTGATTGAACGTGTTGGAAAAAGTTATCCTACCCACACTTTACCCCACCAAACGAGACCTTCCCCTTCCAAATGAGTAACTGTGGTGGTGTACCCATATACACTGACGCGTGGACAGAGACGGCAGTGAGTTAAGAAACCCGCCTAATTTGTTTTAACTGCTGCGCTTAAAGATGCATTCAAGCGCCCACACGCTAGTATGTGGTGCTAATATATAGTACAATTAAGTTCTGTTGAGCCACGTCAATGACGCACTTTAATTGGTTGCTTATTCTTTGATGCCACGTGTGTGACTCATGCACAAGTGCGACATTTGGAGTTCTGTTATATCCCATGACTAAGCCCAACAAGAATTTATAATCACAATTTAAACAATGCCGGGAACAGTTCATCTTTTCCCGGCAAAAAAAAACAGTATGAACAATCCATGTTTATTCTTGCAATAGGAGAGTAGCGTTTTAATGCGGGATTACATTGTACAGAGTTCAGGGGCAGCCTCTTATCTTATGATAAAAACACACATTTTTGTTTCAGCAGCAATTCCATGAACTATAAATGGATGTTTCTCAAGTAATATCATCTGTAAATGTTTTAAATGTTCCAGACATTTTTGATAACTAATCTGCAGTATACGGGGATACATTTTCACTCGGGTTAATAAAATAATAATTCATAAACTCTCCAAAGTTACATCAATTAGCTTTGTATTACTGTTGTAAAGATAGTACAGAATTAATCTGTTTTTTGGTAACAAAGTACAGAATTATCAAGACAGCATTTTGTTTATCAAAAAAGCACATTACAGTTAAAAATGTGTAACTAATAAAGGCAGACGATGAGGCACTACTTAAATTACGAAATAGCGAGACTACGTAGGCTGTTGGACAAACACTCTTAGCAAGCACCTATTCAGGGAAGTTCTTGGCCACACGGGACCAGGCACTCATTGCAGGCCGAGATGACCTCAGATAGGGCCCAGATTATTTTAAGATACTCTTGGCCACTGGTTTGCATGGCAAGACGAGAGATACCACAAGGGTGGTAGCTCTCTGTCGCACGCTGCGCTTACCTTGCCATCGCCACCTTTTACTGCAAACACGGCTAATTACAGCGCTCGAATCATGACATTTACTGTGCCAGTCGTGGGGGTTGTGTGACCATACTTCACCACGATGGTCATTGTGGGTTAGGGAAAGGAGGGGGGGGGGGGGAGGTGAGCAGGACCGGTTCAGATCCCTCGCCACTGATGTTAGCTGTGACTGGGAATCAAACGGTCACTCGATTCGAAGCGCGGTTCGCTAACCATGGCACCACTATTCCACCACATTTGTTTTCACTGCGTACAATACCCTGCAAATTTGTTGGGTAATGCAAAGAGCACACAATGTATGATATGAAGACATTACATCCACCGCAATTATTATTCCAAGGCTCCAGTTCGATTGTCCATTATGAACCAGGCTCGATGTTGAATATAAACGTAAACATCGGTCAACGAGAAGATTATTTTCTGCTCCATTGGCTACACTAATTCGAGCCATGGTGAAAATAACGGCTCGTAACAGAGGTCCTTGCTTGTGCAAATTTAATTATTTCTGTAAACAGTTGCGTTTATTTATGTGCTCCCAAAACGCGATGAAAATGCCACACATTTGTCTAAATTTAACTTCGTTAAAAAGAATAAAAGCACAGAATGGACACTCTCTTGCCAGAAAAGATTAATCCCTCTTTGTCTTTGAACACATGTTTTTATCTCACAACTCAAGTGTTATATAACATACCAGGCATTTATTCCTAGTTATTAAAGAAGGCTGAAAATTGAATTTACATATATATTTTTTATGATGCTGTTTTGCATATCATGCACAATATTAAAAGAACGATTACAATTGAGTATTAATAAAAACTGACAGTGAGAAGGGATTTTTTTTTCAAATAAAATAAAATCCCAAAGCGGTTCAAACAACTTTTCATTATTCTGAACTTTAAAAAAAGACTAAACAAATGCAGGAAAATACAATGCAAAATATGCCAGTCCTTATCAGCAGTGCGTTTAAAATACGTTGGTTGTATTTAAGACCACGTGCCTCGACTGAACAGCACCAACGCTTGTGCCTTCAGAGCTCTCCGGTGTGCATTTTTTGGGGATTTCAACAGATTATAAATTTACGTCGAGTTTTCATATCGCGATTTCATATCGCATTCGACTGCTTCAGGAGTAGCCGCGTGGATTTGTCTCAGATCGCCGTTAAATTATCTGATTGGGCAATCGTTCACGAGATGTTGCACGGTCTGACATGTCCCCAGATACTCAGATGAACAGCTTTATCCGGGTACTCTGGTTTCCTCTCAAGCAAAAGTCACATTTTTGCTTGAGAGCAAAAGTCACATTTTTGCTTGAGAGGGAACTAGGTAGAGAGAGCTGAGCCAATCAGCATCGAGAGCAGACAACACCAGCAACAGCCCTGTAATCAAGCGAGGAAGTGAGCGCATGGAGCGAAACGTCGGACATCACACTGAACAACACGCGGAACAACCCAAAAAACACATCGGAGAGCTACATAGAAATATCACGAACACCTACGCACTAATATACGGTGTTCATACTCATTGACGAATTAGTTAATGCAAGACCCTCCTTAAAAAAGTGTTTCATAACTCAATGAAGCTTTCCTAAATGAAGGCTTCATTACTTTACATTAGGCAGTTAAAATTCATTATTAGCTACTCATAGTTACGTAATGAATATATAACAAACAGACGGTAATATATTCTTGGTTCTTTCGGTATATATAAAAAAATTTATTGTGTTCTATATATTTAATTATTTTATATATATTTAATTATTTCATTGTTTCCCTTCAACGTGACTTTACCGAAAGAACCAAGAATATGAATCACTGCAGTCACGAAAGCTTTAAATCAAAATTTAAACAGACGGTAAGTCACAATAACGATTTTTGGGCTAAGATCGTGGAAGTATAAATGTGTCGTTAACCCGCCACCACCCGACGCAGCCAATGAGCAAGGTTTGTCACGTAAACAAAACGTGCCAATTGCTTACGACTTCAGCCCACCAGTGTATTGGAGAGTAAATTCACAATATTTACAATCGGAGTACCATGACGGTTTGCTGTTAATTACATCCAGCATCATCGGGCGATTTTGACAATTCTGGCAAATCACCTGATGATGCCAGATGCAGTTACCAATGAAACGTCACAGCACTCAAATTGTAAATGTTATGGAATTACTCTGCAACACACCACTTGTGCTGAAGTAATTAATAATTGGCGCCTTTTAGTCACGTGACAAACATTAATAATTGGCTGTGTCGGGTGGTGGCAGGTTATCGACACATTTCTACTTACGCCATCTAAACCAAAAAGAAAAAAACATTATTACGAATAATATTGGTCGCGAAAGCCTACACGTCAGACGTTAAGTCAACTTCTCCAAGTAAAGTTACATTTCTTTTCCCGTACCGTCATCATACAGGGTGATCTAATTGTCGATACCACACTAAAATTACCGTTAGAAACTTTACAGATGACAACATCTTGCTGGAGAGCCTCGACACATTTCCCACCAAAGCCCAAATTACTCAACAAAAAAACTCTCACTCTCCCCTGCAAGACACGGAGCAACCGCCTTCACAATATTCAAGCACCTGCTGAGAAGAAAGTGAGAAGGGGAGTTAGAAATCAGCGGGGTGTCTATAAACAGCTCAACATGTATATGTACGTTGAACTTCTTTCGCACCGCACGTAGCCAACCGTGCTAACCTAAGGTACTTGCATATCAACCCGCGTAAAACGTATGGCGAACAATCTGTTGTTTTTACACGCGATTATACACTTGTCCGTTTCGCTTTGGAATGTCGCGTTACATAATACAGTGCAGGCGGATCAAATGAGGCCATTTAATAATAATAATTAAAAAAAGAGCAGGCGCTAGGGCCGCTCACCACGGTGGCACCGGCAAGAATTTGCGACCTCCACAGCCAAACCTTGAACGCCGGGGAGGGGGATGCCGCGAAGACCCGCCCCCTGGGAATCAGAGCTGCGACGGGGGAACGCTCGGCATGACGACGTTGGTCCCACGGATCACGTGCTCGCCCTTCCCGTCCAACAGGCTGTCCCACTGGGAGAAGTCCTTGTCGAGTTCTGCAGCGGGAAAACGAGACGGCGCACACGGACATGGGGCTTCTCCTCTTCCTCCCACCCCCGTCTCAATGCCACCCCTGCCATTGTTTCACGTGAAGCCCATCGTGCACTGTGGTGGGAAACCGCTTCATCCAGTACTGGGCAGTCAGATAAATCTGTGTTACAGTCGACGTGGGCTATCGGCAGTGGCCTTTAGCCTGCAATATAAAGTACACCAGCGAGACGTTCCTTTAGATGCGGGTTTGCGGGGTGTTTTTAGCATTTTCGAATGGCATGCACGAAAATATATTGTTTAATCGACTATCACAAACCCGCACTAACCAGCGTGACAAACTCAATGGTTGCCATTGTGTGATGAGGGCCTTGATCCAGCAGTGGACAGACAAAGGACTACATTTTCCAGCATACATTTTGCGTGCAATAGGTATTCACGTAATCATTCACACTGAACGTTTTTTCGTGCGAGTCAGCTTGATCGAAACTAACATTGAACTGGATTCCATTTTCTTTTATAATCAGCGATTAATTCCACAAACATATAGGAACATTAACTCGAATGAAAACAGGGCAAGTTGATCAAAGGATTGCAGACATGAACCACAGAACTATGCGCAACAGCACAAATGCCCTTTGCCCTGACAGATACCCGTTGGGCCTCAAAGCTGCTCGTTGAATATTGGCAGTCAAAAGCATGTTGAAATTGGTTACATAATCCACACGTATGCATGACGTTTCCCTCATCCCAGACTTGTTCAACGCAGCGTTTCCTTGTACAAGCACCTCCCCTCGGGCCGCACGGAGCGTGTCCGCCGTGTGTCGATGCGACGACGCGCGGCGCGGCGCGGCGCTCGATTTAACCCTCGCGCTCGCAAAGTACACGCCGGCCCCTCGCGGCAAAAGGTGCCAAAAGCTCAGGGTCGTTAGCCGATGGAAGTGTCCGCATCGAGCAGGTCCTCCTGGGCACGGGCGTTCAGACCGTGACCGACACGAACACGCTGGAAAGCTCACAGCCGGGGACACGCTTGCTCATTTGAAATCGAATTACGCCACACTAATGATGATTAGCAATTTCCAAATGGAAGTGAGTTACGGGGAGCAGAGTCTGTGTCAAGCACGAGATCGGAAACGAGCCCGGGGTCGACTTTCCTCGATATGAATCTAAATGGAAGGCCGCAGCTGGTGAGGCACACGACAGACAGAATTACCGATTGCTCGACACTTTTCTGATGGCCATCAGTCACGGGGGGGGGGGGGTTCGTCTTATTGCACAATTGGAAGAAAAAAACATGCAGGAGTTTTAGCTACTGCATAGCATGTACATTGGCCTCGAATAACAAGTTGATCCTGAGAATCAAATACCATTTCCTAATGCGACTGTGGGATCGGTGGAATCGTTGGGGTGAGGGTATGGGGGGGCTACATGGAGTCCAGCTTGACATTCAGGCAGGGAGGGGGGAGGACCTGTGGGGGGCTATCCGGCCGAGTGGTCATCTGTGAATTTACTGGACATCGGTGAAAAAGAGCTTCGTAGCTCATCAGATTCCTCCGGGCTATGTAAAGATTCTGATTCTGAGCAAAATCGCCATTGAATCGCATAGCCAATACCCAGGTAGTTTGTTTCAGCGGAGACTCTGCTCGAAGCTGAAATAGACCCCGATATCAGGCAGCCAGAATTGGCGTTCAAAACTTCTCCAGTGTTGCCGTTGAAATGTACGGCCAATGCTCAGTGCAGGGAATTGGTCCGGATTCATCGTGATTCCAGGGTGTCGTTCAGGAGAGATGGGAGGGGGCCTGTGGGACTTGGACAGCTTGGTGGAGGCCGGCCCAGGCCAATGCGTGATCAGGATGCACGGATCTTCCATGGCATAAACCCCTGTTAAATTCCAATTCAAATCAATGTGTGGATAAAAAAGTTACATTTGTATCCACACAACACGGGGGTTCTCCTACCCTTTACCCCCCATGGTCTGCAAAAGAGAAATTTGTCTTGACAATCAAATCAACATTTAGTTTCAATTATTAGGGTATCGATTTATCCAAATGAATAAAACCCCAAAATATATTGGCAACTTGCTACATGTAAGAATACAATCCATTCACAACTCGGTCTAAGTAAGTCAATTGGTCTCCTCTGTGAGTCAATAGGTCTCTATGGACTCGCCAAGGTCCCCGTGATATCACTGTCGACTGCGCCGAGACCATCAACCCGTACCACTGGAGATCTTGTTTAAACCGCGGGCAGGTGATACGCAGATTCGAGCCCCTAGTCACATACGCCAGAAGACATGGTCCCGGCTCACTTGCTGTGGCCTCTGGCTGTTGAGAAAATCCGTGTTGTTGACGGACGGTACAGCGCGCAAAGCGAGTGTGTGTGTGTGCGTGCGTGGTGTAGCGGCTCACTCGTGGGGTACTTTCTTCATCGTCTGATAAAGATCCACATCTGCTGCGCTACGAGAACACAATAACATTGGTTGCTTGCAAAAGTTTTCCGTTTGGCGTTTGAACATGTTGCTAGAAAGGGGTAAAACCTATTCATATTTTTCGATAACAGCATAGCGTGCGCCAAGACACAGATTCGAGTTCGACAAAAAATGTCCACCGTGGAAAAATTCTCGATTTCGAAACAAGATAGACGAGGGGGAAAACAAAAACCTACCACGCTACCACACAACAACAAAAAACTACTACCCAAGTTTAAAACCTGTTTTTGCGTTACGTGTGGGCAGACTGTGAACAATGTGCAGGTGGATTGGTGGATCACGTGGAGGTCTGGTCAGCGCGACACATCCACTTGCAAGGCAGCCAGGTTGTGACTGCAGGTGTGGAAGAGGTACAGCGAGTAGCTTTCACGTGGCGTTTGACCGTTCTTCAATCAGACGTGTGGGATTTCTTACGAAACTTGTGAATTACTCCCCACATGCAGAGAAAACTTCACAAAAATTGGCCAATCATCGGACACAGCAAGGTCCACTTGAGATGCTTTGGCAAAATATGTACAGGGTAGTCCCCGACTTACGATGGAGATGCGTTACGACGACCTCATCGTAAGTCGAAAATTATCGTAAGTCGAAGATGGCCTAGCCTACCCAGGAGTCTTAAAGAATGGTGATAATTTTGCAAAACAGAGCAATTTACAGTACCGTACTGTATAAACTATATACTGTATGTATTTATTAATACCGTATTGCACGGTAAAATGTAAAGTAAAAACAAGGTAAATTCTTAGCCTACCTATATGAACTGCAATTTAATAGAAAGTTTTTTCAGGAAACAATCCTATCTGCTATAAAAACTTTTAACATGCATTGAACGTATCGTATCGTGGTAACCCTAAAATTAAATCGCTAAAGCTACGTATCATATACACGCATTGAACGTATCGTTACGTATCATATTCTACTGTACTCACCAAGATTCTGTCCGTCGTCTGCATACTTGAACGATGTAAGGTTGTTGATGGCTACATTAACTTAGTTGTCGGAAGAGGAGGATGGCGAAGTTACAGTATCGTACCTCATACGCTGCTGCGTTTGCATGCCGCGTGAAATTAGAAATATTTTACAATTTTGTCATATCGCTATCGCCATCGTAAGATCGAAATATCGTAAGTCGGGGACCGTCGTAAGTCGGGGACTACCTGCACGCATTGCGTCAATCATATCTTTATTTTAAACTGGGTGAGAGGTCACTGAAACTAAATGTCTCTTCTAAAAAAAGAGGCATCTGAGACGTAAAAGGATTGTAGGCAATGATTAAAAATTAAAAACAAATGCCATGCAGGGTCTCATTATTTAGGGTTCCCGACACCTCGTGTTATTTTCAGTTGCCCTATGTTTTTCTAAACTTCAAACTCTCCTGAACGACAATACAGAGGGGAAACTTCTCAAATGAGTGGACATCACAGTCTGAAGGCTGAGGTGTATTTGTGCATCTGAAGCTCTCTGTGAGGCCGTCAAGTCACTGAATTTCTGAAGCTTGGTTACCAAGAATGGTTCAAATTGTGTTGGGAATTCCCACATCGGGTTAACAAAAATCCTGTTTCTTAGAATCTTTAAACGTGACATCTACAGGGGTTTTTTTCCCATGAAGAATAAATTGCGTAAGTTTATTTAGTTCATATTCCACCCTTTTGAAAATACAGTAAAACCTTGGATTGCGAGAAACTTGGTCTGCAAGTGTTTTGCAACACGAGCAATTTTTTTTAATTAATATTAATTTGATAAACGAGTGAGGGTCTTGCAATACGAGCAGTACATATAGACGCTTTGTCTGCCGAGCGTCACGTGATCACAACTGATAAACGAGTGCTTTGATATACGAGTGCTTTTGATTACAAACACGTTTCCGGAACGAATTATGCTCGCAATCCAAGGTTTTACTGTACTATGATACAGACAACATGGGCAACAACTGTTTGATCTTCAAGTAAGCACTTTACAAGCCTAATTGATATCATATGAACCTTAACGCCGTTTGCATCACGTTAACAATGATTCTCATTCCAAAACAGGGGAGCAAATCAGGACAGTGGCCAAAACAGAAAACTACTAAACTATTTTTTAATTTAAAGCTTTCATGACTGCAGGGATTCATATTGTTGGCTCTTTCGGTATAGTCGCATAGAAGGGAAACAATAAAATAATAAAAATATTTTATTTAATAATACAAATATTTTATTGTTTCCCTTCTACGCGACTTTACCGAAAGAACCAAGAATATAAACTATTTTTATTATACCAGGTAAGGCTCATTGAGCTGTATCGCTCTTTTTCAGAAGCAACCTGGCCAAAAAAATAGCTCAACGAAGTGGCTTGTCACGTGGGAATTTCTCGCTGCCAAATTCTCTAATAAAGGCATGTTTCTCACTCCTTAGAGCTGCATCTAGTGCTGCTTCATGGAAACTTACAGGGCAATAGGAAGACAAATGAAAGTGCATCAAGGCAAAAATCCTACACGGTATATCATTGACATCCAGCAAATGAAATAAAAACACACAACAAAAATGAAATGCTGCTAATGACAAACAAATTGGATACATTTCACATCTGATGTGCACAATTTCAGAGTCAGGTGCGCGTGATTAAAAAAGGTTACCCTCTGGATTCCTGTCAATATTGATTGACAGAATGCCAACATAGCAATCTATGCACCATGCTTCCAGGCAACTTAAAAATGAGACATTAAGCAATAATAAACACAGTTAAGTGCTATCGGTTATAAATCAGGGCGTAATGTAAAATCGAAATGAAAAGGGAGTCGGAGGGAATGCTCAAAATAACTTGCATCCATATTGTATTAGCGTTCTTACAAAAAAACAACTCTGAGAGAATTGTTTATTCATCATAAAAGTGATGCAAACGTTATTCATTTACAAGCAGCTCCATGGGAGAAAGCAAACATTTTCAAATCCACTTTTTTTACTCTTGGGGCATAAAATACTATTATAATTACGGCTTATTACACGACTTAAATTTAACTCATACTCTCCAAAGTACATCTTGAGAGCCATATGACTAAAATATTTGCTTTTCAACCACTCATCACGAGGGATTCTTTAGAGGAAGGCAATTTTAGCCTCTTTTTTTAGCATTCTGCTGCGAATTCCACGTTCATTAACTCCCCGTGAGTTGTGCGATTCTCTAAGCCGATTATCCCGCTAAAAGGCCAGCAGACAAGGCAGGGGGCGGACTGAGGCTGGGGCTGCACGACTTCTGCCCATGTCGCACCCACACGGGGGCACAGCGGTGGCTAGGAGATGTTAACTCCCTCGCCTGGTATACAGGAGGTCGTGGGTTTTAATACCGACCCTAACGACCGCATATTTGGAGATTGCGGTGTCTCTCTCCCTCCCCCCTCCCCCCTCCCTTGGTCGTGTGGATTTTTCTCCAGGTCCTCTGGTTTTTCCTTCCATATTTAGAAACGTGCGTTTAGAGAATTTGTCCGCTATACATTTCCACGCGATAAGCCACTTCGTTGAGCTATCATTTGTGATGGCCAGGTCGCTTCTGAAAATGGCTAAATAGCTCAGTGGGCCCTACCTGGTAAAAACAAAAAAATTAGTTTATGCACATATTCATCACGCACACTTTCCCCAACGTCAGCACCTGACCTCAAAAGGCTTTTCCGACGATTCGTTTGCAGCAAGCTTTAGTCAGACAAGTCTCCTCGTTACGTGAACGTAAAAGCTTCGTCAATGGCTCAGGCCCACCGACGGAGGAGCACGGTTGTTCGATGTGTTGTTTAGGGGGTTGTACCGCGTGTTGTTATTATTATTCAGAATTCTTAAAAGCTCTTCGCACGTGGGGAGAAACGTGAGAAGTCGTGCTGACTGGCGCGCGGTACGACTCAAAACACATCGGAGTGCCGTGCATAGCCAACCGTGCTAAATCGGAGGTGTGGGGGAAGGAGAAGAAACTGAATACAAAAAAGCACAACCGTGAAGACCAAACGGAATGCTGCCCGATGCTCAATTGAGCATGGAGACACTTTTGACTTGGCGTGTATCCATCCAGTGAGACTAAAGCCTGGTAGTCTAAAAATGCAAAACGCAAGCACCACATTGGCAGCCGCGCAAAGGCACATGTCAAATAAAGTCACAATGTCCGTCGTGAACACTATTATATATTTATTTCTGCTGTATGGCAGTCTTACGTTTAAGGCAATGACCCTCGAAATAAGAACGATACATCATTTGGATGATTATTCAATGTCCAACTTTTGCACGTGACATTGCAGGGAAGAAAAAAAAGAGTTTCCGCTGGCTTGAATCAATTTCCAATAATCTATGCACCGGTTATGCCGTAACAAAAAATATGGGCCTTTGCACTACCCCATTTGTCTTTTTGCCATTAGGGGCACAATACTAACCAGCAGGAGGGCACAAAAGGGCATGTTTAATTTCAGCTCCATGCCTTCTCGCCAGACGTACAGTGTTGCGCATTCAGTGTTGGGGAAAAATGCCTCTGCTTGTAACTTGCAGAGCTGGGCGTGTTGTTTTCAGGCGGCCGAGCATTTTGTGATTGGACGGCATCAAGCGGCACGAACGCGGCCCGGTTTTTCAAAACGCTTTTCAGATGCTCCAATTGGCTCGGCTCAAATGGCACTAATGGGAGTGCAAGTTAAAGCTGTTAAGACCCATGGCATTTTTAATAATACCAATGAGCATCTCAACGGGGTTTAATTTTATTTTAATATCCTGCTAAAGTTAAAATGTGTGGCCTTGTATTAAATGACCATAGCTGCGTGCAGGAGAAAATATGTACCGTACATACCTATGTAAAGAAAACGTATATGGCAGAGATATAGCGATGCATCAATTAAAATATATTCCTTTTGCCTCGCAATACATGCAGCATGTGAGAATTTATCCTTTTTCTATTTGTACATGTTGCCACTAGTTGCATTTAATTCAAGACCTATGCAGATTCCATCGGTGGTACCATTCACCACATTGCAAAACAATAAAAACGATTGTTGATTCGAAAATTCAGTAAACCGCATGGAGAGCAATTACGGCAAGCCTAATGTGGAGTCTGTATGGCCAAGAAACAATTCAAATACCGCAAACAAGGTCCTGCTGAATACGAGTGTGACGGGCTCAGCGAGGGGCTCACCGAGGTAAAAAAAATATTTTAGTTATTGCAAAAACACAATTACATACGTGCATATACTGAGTGCGAGTGAACAGGCCTGGCCAGCGGGTTAAAAAATATTTGCATGCGGGATGGGAGAGGGGGCCGTGGGGAAAGGGTGGATGGGGGGGAAATGAAAATAAACAGAACGTGAAGATCTTGATTTGAAGCTTTCGTGAATGCAGAAATCCATACTCTTTGGTTCTTTCGGTGAAGTCACGTGGGTATAAAATAAAATAAATCACGACGTTTCGGGCGCATCACGACGTTTCGGGCGCAACACACGGGCTTGTGTTGCACCCGAAACGGCGTGATTTATTTTATTTTATACCTACGTGACTTTACCGAAAGAACCAAAGAGTAGAGAACGAGAAGAGTAAAACCAGTAACTAAGCATAGCGGTCGAGGCGGCCAAAGCTGTGCTTACCCAGGTGCTTTTGCAGAAAGGCCAGCGAGGCCCTGTTGTTGATGTGGATGGCGGTCAAGGGGTCCAGCGTTCCCCGCGTCTTGGCCAGTTTTCCCAGAAAGGAGCCCGTCACAAAGGTGAAGTCGGCCTGGCTCTGGTGCACCGTGCCCCTTCGCAACACAAGGACAGAGACCTGTCGTTAAACGCGCAGACCGATGGAAGAAACTGTGTTCGCGAGCACTTGCTAAAAGGCAGAAATAAAAAAAATATCAGCATCAACACTCGTAGCGGCACAACATAAATCCCATCCAGGAGACTAATAAACTCTTGCCCAGAGCTCAGGCTGATGCCTCCGCTAGAGGGCTGACCTCTCCCCATTCCACCAGCGCACGGGAAAATGCTACTCGCTGTTCTCCACAGTTGTCATCATTTGCGATGGACAAGCAAAGAAAAGATAAAGATTCAAGGCAGAACAACACACGAGGTTACTATGTGGTTAACACCACGCACACCTTCAACTTTACCGTATCAGGTGCAGGTTTCCCTCACTTTTAACGGGTTCGGTTTGTGCGATTTCGCGAACATGGGGCTCACCTATTTCTTTCAAAAAATTTGCTCTCTGCGGTTTGAATTCACTTTACATGCGGCTATCGGGTCGGACGTGGGACAACATTCTGGTGTGTGTACTGTATGCGCTACTCGGCACGCCCTTGTCTCGTGCGATTTCGCTTTGTGCGCCCTTTATTTGGAACGCATCTACCACCGCATCAAGAGAGGCAAACTTGCATTCGTTTTTTTGGCGGGGTGCTGCCGCGGTGCAATGATTACCACACCGGACCTGCAATCTAGGCCACTAGTTCATTTTCCCAGGGCGACTTTTGAATCAATGGAGAAAACGTTTCTTAAATCACCACTGCCTGTGTCCGCCCAGCTGTATAAATGGGTATATCATGGTCAGTCGATCAGCAGGGCGCAAGTGTGGTGGGGTAAAAGTCTCCCTCGAGTAGAGACCCTTCTGCCAACAGTTGTGCGAGGGAGAAATTTCTGGGCTGCGCCTCCACTTAGACCAATGGGAGGGTCCAGACCAGCTTCAGATACTAACAGCCAGTGGTGTTTTTACACCATGACTTAGGAATCGAATCTGGGTCTGTGGAATCATAGTTCGGCTCACCAACCAATATAGCACGGCTCCCTTTTAGCACACATCGTGACATAACACAACACGCAAATTACCCTTAGAACAATGGACACATGTAAAACGTATTCCTAACACACACCCACAAACGACAATTGTGCACATCCAGTTAATGGCCTAAAAAAAAGAGTGGCATGTTTAAAAGCGCAGGCAAACAGTGGTGAGCTGAACAAAGGAGCATCCATTAAATCAGAGAGAGGCCACTTTAAAAGAGCACAAGAATGGCACACAGTTGTGGAGCAACACAAATGAACACAAATCGCCCGAGCGGCAATAACTCACGTTGAGCGTGCGCGTCAGAGTGACGGTCTCAGGGCAAATAAACATATTACGAATCGTGCGTCGTTTTACCGGCACGATTAGCACGGTTACTCCGTCACAACTCAGACTAAACTGTGAGATCACAAAATGAGCCGGTGACTCAAAGCAGCTGTGGAGTGAATGTAAGGTGAGCCGCGATTGTCTGCTACTGTTGCTGCTGCAGTGTTAGTCAGCATGTTTTATTTTGGTCAGTCTTGGTAGAGTCAACAACAACTTGTGGTTTTGATTTAGTCATTCTCTTAGTCTAAAGGCAGTGTTTCTCAAAATTTTTTGGCCCGTGGACCATTCATGCAAACATTTCCGTAGACCACCCAGCCCCCCCCTCCACCCCTGGTGACAAAACGCAATTAATTCCCTCTCTAAATACCATTCATACTAAATGATTCCTATTACCGGAACATAAACACTTTTATATTTTAAACGCAGCGAGAAGGTAATTTTTTTGGAGTGCCATTTATATCTTAGGATTAGGGTAGTTTAATGAGGGTAGTTTACCAAACTTCATTTTTTAATTAAACATCACAAAATATGTATTAAAGTCCGTAACAAAAGGTATCATGAAAGTTGTCATCATGTCCAGATCAATCTGCATTTGCATCACAGCACCGTGGCCCACCTGGAGGACCGTCAAGGACCACCGGGAGTCCGGGGACCACGCTTTGAGAACCACCGGTCTAAAGCCATCAAACATTTTGTCCAATCCTACGTTATAAATACTAGCGTGAGAAGGCGTGCAATTTTTCCCCTTTATATAATAAGGCGAGCCAATAATTAAACTCGGTAAATTTTTCGATATACGTGTATGGCCAATTTCCATGTTTGGTCTTCCTCAGTGCACTGTAGTGTCTGATAACGTTACTAAATTAATTCATTCTGGTCTTAATTCAGAACCGTAAATTTTGGCTCATCACAGTCAATCACGCGTTGGTTGGTCTGCGAATGGACAGCGGCGGGTAATTGTCACGTTTGACGATATTCATCCACTCACAGGGTCCATCACGAGATCAACATCTTGCCGAGGAACATTTTCATCACTTATTTCGCTCGCAAAAACCAAACACTCGCTGCTGCAGTGGGGGATTGGGGCTGCACGTCGCGAGGCCACGACGGGTTGGCAAGCAGTCAACAGCCGCTGGGTCCCGGGATATTCTGGAAGTTTTCCAAATGCCCCCCCCCCCACCCATCGAGTTTTACAAACCCCAGCTTTAACGCATTTTTTTTATACCTTAAATCTTTTTTTTTTTACGCTGTATGCTGGACAGAGATAGTGAAACTAATAAATCCTGGTCACAGGGAAAAGTATGTTTAAAGAATGTTAAAGGTTGTTATCTATATGGAAGAGAATGTGGCCCAAAAGAAGTATCTTACTGACTCGCAGCAGGATTTCTTTCCAGGATGCCTGCTCTTCATTGAATAGTGGCTTTTAGTGTCCACAGGGCTTACAGGACCGTGTCTCTCTGCCAAATGCCACCTTCTAGGCACTGGTTAGGCTCTAGGATTCGTTGCAGGGCATCTTCCACTGAGAAGCCAACAGAATTGACTGCAAGTATTTACATACAAGAAGAGCCCTACCCTTGTGTCAGTCCGCTACCTGGATGACGAAGTCCCCAAACCGTGCGAGTCGTGGGATTTTATTTGACCGTACTTCAACACACTGGCCGGTGCGGGTTGATGAAGGCAGGCAGCATAGAAAATACAGTACAAATATGGATCTTGCTGCATGGCCCTGCTCTGTCCGTTACATTGTCCTGCACACAATCTGACTTTTTGTCAGAAATTAACCACCAATGTCCCCAGCCCCACTGGCTTAGATTGACAAAGCATAAATAGTGACACTGGGTTAAGAACACGCTAAAGCACAATTCTTCCACACAATGCTTCAGGACAATGCTTTGGGACCATGCTTAGAGTCACAATGCTTAGGGACAATTATTAAGGCCATCACCAACATTTTGTGCTTACTCAGCAATGAGCTAACATCATTCAACACGAGTACAGAATAGGTGAGGGGAACAGCGGCCGCTCACAGGATGGTGATCATCCTGCGATCGACGGTGCTGGAGTCGAGCTGCCGCTGGCTCTGGATGTTCGCCACCCACTGGAACTTCTCCGTGTTGATGAAGAAGATCGGCTGCGTGACGTTGGGGTACAGGTCCCTCTCGATCGGCAGCATCCAGCTGTCCATGACCACAGCACACCTGGCAAAACACAGCGATGAACACAAAGATCCCACATCAATCCAGTGTTAGCAGGGAAAGTGCGGTTCGCAAAAATCTATTTGACCAGAATTCACAGTATGAGGTCACGTATATCCGAATGAAGCTTTTGCTAGTTTTGGATGTCACTCTATACCGTTGTTCGCCGTGACCAGGAATTTGACCTTTGTTGCTTGGTTCAGTAGTCAGCACAGCATTCAATCTACTCTATCACTACCCATAACCAGGGCTGCACTTAGATACAAAAAAACAGGATATATCGTGGAAATGACAAAATCTCACAATACCAGCAGACGGAAGAACTACGGATTCTGAGAAAACCAGGACATGCAGCAAAAACGCTACTCATTACAACAAAACCACCAAGCTCATCCACAACCATTTGATGGTGCAATGCAAGGCATGTGCACTCCAAGGATTCACTGGGCAGCCCCAGCTCACCACCACCTCCACCCCCACCCCCAGGCGTCAACAAGCAAAATGCACCTGAACCGGGGCTCTTTGGTCAGAGAGACGATTGCAGTGGCTCCTCCAAACGAATGCCCCATCACCGACAGCTTCTCCAGGTCCATGCTTCCCTGCGCAATGGTGACAAAGGGCGCCACCGAGTGTAACAGCTGATACTGAATTGCAGATACGAGTAGGTCACCAGTTAAAGGAAAAGAACGTCTAAAAAAACCATTCAGAATTATCGTTAATAACAAACACAATTTAAAATGAGCACATATTTCACGAATCGGACCCATTGTTTGATAGAGGACTCAAGAGGTGCAGAGTCAGAGCTCAAACACCAGTCTGAACAGATGAGAGCCTCAACAGATGAGAGCCTGGACAGTTGAGAGCCTTGAACTGCTGCTGGAAGGTGACCAGCGATTAGGTGCTGTGAATCGAAAATCTAAAACTAAAAAAAATATACCATGAAATAACAATTTTGAAATAGAAACGGTCTCTCTGCTTTTAATTAATTTTTGTTATTCATGGGGCACGGTTGTACTTTATTTCGTGCGCGGTTGCAATTTACTTGGCGGCGAAGTCAGTGTAAGCTGCTGATGTCGTGACGGGTTTATTTTTTAATTCCTGTTGATCTGTGCCCCCTGTACCCGTTCTATTCTAATTTGCACTGATGCCTACTTTACTGATGGTGATATTGGCATGTAAAATGAATACTGATTGATTGACTGTCCTGTAAGTGGTGGGCAGCAGAGGGCAGTGGAGCAAAGTCCATTGTTATGCTGTGTGTCTATGCTCCCAAACCCATGCTCCTCACCTTCACCGATCTGCACTAACCAGCATGGCGAAGTACGATCGAATTCCCACTCCATCTGCACGGCATAGGGAGGCTCTCATCTATCCGTCAATTGCGCATGTACGTATATAATCCGCAAAGCTCTCCGAACCATTAATGCAAAGTCTCAGCCAAGAAGTCCTTGACAATGAGACTACTCTTTGCCCCAATGAACCGTGATTTTGGACACCGGGACAGTTTATTTGAGCACTTGAATTATTGCCCGAGTAGCCTTGATATAAAACAAAGGCACTGCCCCCCTTTGCCAGCGGCGCTGTTTTTTACCTTCAGCTGCTGGAAGTCAAAGCCTGAGGGGAGCACGTTCTGAATGGGACGGCCTTCGTTAATGTCCTCCAGCAGACGCAGGCCGCGCACGCACTCATCCGCGCGCTGGTGAACCTAGGGGACAAAGTCTCTCCCGTCAGATTTTCCCGCTCATCCACTGGGGTGGATTAACATAACCTGGCCTCAAGGCCGCACTCCAAACATTCCAAAGCGACACACCTGTTACCTGCGCAGGGCACAGAACGTGTTCAAAATCCACAGTATCGCAAATACCAGGCGCACGGCACTTGGCTCCGATATTTCTTACAGATTTTTTTTGGAAAACAAAAAAAAATTAGTGCCAAAGAACATTCTGCATTGGCACAAGGTTGTTGGCCAAATGTGAAATTAATCTGAAATCAGGCTAATGAGCCAAATAACTCCACCGAGGGGGCCGTGCGCCGAAATAGAATGGCAGCTCGTTTCTCCGGGGCTGAGGTAGGCTCTAACTCCGCTTCGGGTTGTCCAGTCTCAGCCGACGCGTGAAGCGGGATTAAATGCGTAACGGAACTGCTTCGTCGACACTCGATTCACCGGAGGAATGCAATGCAGAAACGTCTATTTAGAACAATCCAGCAAAAGCTAAATATGCGGTCAAAGTATAATCTCAGAGGTGGCAGCTCAATGAAGGACGTTCTAGAAGGAAGAATGTTTGCAAAGAGGCCAACATTTTATTTATTTCGCCTTTATTTAACCAGGTCAAAAACCCTTGAGGTTAAAACCCCCCTTTTGCGAGGGGGACCTGGCAGAACAAGAAATAAGCTATGACAACTTGAAGGACGGCAGGGGGGGCAGGGGGTGGCTATTGCGGGAGGGCGCGTTTAGTAAAATGAAGCTAGGAGCTGGACAAGATGGAGTTTGAGCCAAAGGTCCGTCATTGGGCAGAGACCTAGGGAGAGAGGGGGAGAATGTGATGGCGCATTATCACACGTTGCCTGCTCATCTCGACTGTCAATCGCAACACTGCGTGTCCCCTCGTTTTCCGAGGTTGTGCCGTGTTAACACGCGGCACAACCCGGAAACACGTCGCTGAGCTAATCCACCTGCACGCGTCAGCCAACGCTTGGTGGTAAACAGAGGGCAGCAGTTGGTTCTCTTCCACCCCAGAGCGCAGTTGTCGTGTCAGATGTGCGAGCTGCGCCACCTGCTGGTTACGCAGGGGGAACTCCTTCTCTCCGGGCAGCAGCTTGCGGTAGGGCAGCCACACCTCCTGCATGCACTCGCCGTTGTGCAGTGCCGCTTTCTCCTCCCCATCACACGCCGCCGCCTCAGCCGCTGTCCCTCCCTCGCCCTCTTTTGGCCGAATGAAGTAAGTGGCCGAGGAAGACAGGTCTCTGGCAGGGAGAGCAGACGTGACCGTTGACAAAAAATCACCAGCGGGGAACGTCACGTTGAGTCAGTGGCATAGCGCAGTTGGCATAGGGAGGGGCTCTCATCCAGCCGGGGGCCCGCCAACTTATTTTTCACGTCTTTGCACCCCGGCGCCGAGGCCGCTCTGGCCCATGAGCTCCGGTGCCGTTCTGAGCCAGCACCACCGATATCCTGGATTTGAATGTTGGCGGTCACCTGTAATTTAACCTGGTTCTAAAGTGCAGTGCGCATCTCTTGGTCTTGGCCCGGTTATCAAATCAATGTCCGTGCAAATGAACATTAGAAATGTAGTCGTTTCAATTCAATTTGACATTGTCAAGTTCAAGACTGAACTGTATATACAATTGGATGACCAGCAAATGCAGTTTAATGCAGTGTTGATGAAAACAGGCTCATTGAAGTGACTCAAGTGTCAATTCTTTGCAGGTGTTGCGACAGCTGAATCAATGGTAACTTTACCTGTGCTCGACCGCACCTACAATGAAGCCCCGTGACGCCATCTCCACGCAGACTGTCGAGTACAGGGTCCTGCACACAGACACCCGTTGTTCGGTCTCACAGTCTGTCGGCACGGCCAGCACGGCACACGAGCAGGAACGTAACGCTTCACAGACGCGTCGGCGATTCGATGACTTGTCAGAATTCCGCATCACGATTTCATTAGATTATTTCATCTTTTTTGCCACCTTATTTACATTAGTATTTATTTTTACGTTCTGTCTCGTTTGTACGGCTTCATTTGCCAGCAACGTATCATGTGCGTGATTGAACACATCATCATGAGCGCATAAACAATGATATAATTAATCATTGATACTTTCTGTATTATGGCTGATGCATGATAAAGCTTGTTTTTAATCATTATTTTTCTTGTTAACAATAAATAATTGCACACCACTTACTGTTAATAACTGCACAGGGGTGTGCGGCACATGAACAGGGGGGGGGGGTCGACCTGTCCACAGCCAAAGTCAGAAGCCACGGTGCATTCCCAGCCCTGCCCTATGTGTACCTGAAGGCCCCCAGGCCGTGAGAAAATATGATGAGCGGAAACTTCTCTCCAGAACGAAACGGTGCGTTCCATTCCACAGGAACATGGTACGAAGCTAGGAAAACAAATATCCAACACATGGCAGTTAGTAAGCAAGTGTGGGTCAATCATTTACATTAAAATGGTGACATTAAAAACGATGTCTGTGTCACGTAATAATGTCCTTATTATGCTTTCTCCAATTTGATCCCGATTGTGCTATTGCTATTTTATCACAAGACAAAGTATCTATTCAGATCGCAGAGCAATGCAGTCCATTGTGGTCCATTGTGTTAGAGAATGGCCCATGGCAGTGGATATCACAGAGCCACCTCTTGAAAGGTAACTTGACTCCTGGTCTGGTCCTGTGATCCAAAAGTATGGGGCATCACTTTCCCACCCAGCCTGCACTTAATGTGGAATTCATCCTTTTGAAATGTAGAACCAAATTTTACGTGATTGGGCTTTTGTACAGTCATTGGTGGCTTGGCTGAAACCATTAACTGAGATTAGTAAAATGTTCTCATCAATCATCTTCCTATTTGTCATGCATTTAAAACATGCATGTTGGGGCAGATTTTAATGATGACCACATCATCCCATCCAGCCAATCAGAGTGCATGTTGCTTGTGTAAAAAAACAAAGCAATTCAAAAAATGTTGAACGAAGTTCATGCCCCCCGGCGGTGCCCCGCAAGTTAAACGAAGCAAACACCACAACACAACATTATTTCTCGTGACATTTAAAAAAAAATGACACCACATTTAGCTTGAAGCTTAAGGAGCGCAAGCGGTGTCCGTGTGCCTGGTAGATCGTCACCGAACATGAAGGTGAAGAAGCTCGTGAAGCACGGGTTGAGGTTGAGGAAGTTGACGAGCCCGCCCGTGTACTCCCGGCGAGGAATCCACAGCGGCTGCGGGTTCACCTTGGGCTGCTTCACCACGGCATCACGAGCTGGGTAGTAAACGCGCATGAAGCTGCCCTGTGCGCGCACACACGCGACGCCAAGAGACGCGACGGGAAGGGAGGAAGGAAGACACGACAGCACTTGAGCCTCATATGGAGGAGCTTGTTAGCGGTGCCAGCTCCACGCTACTACGAGCTGGTCGGCCACCTGTTAGCAATGTTGATTTTGTTTCAAAAATTGGCGACAGTAGTGCTCGACAACAGCGGGGTTTTCCGTCAATTGATTTTGCCAATGAAATTAGTGACAGGTATTCGACAACAGCGTTTTGTTTCGTCAGCGATGACTATGAGTGGACAGAAATTAAGCACGACGGTCACTAAGACTACCCACTATGATGAGAGAAACTGAACTCGTCGGAATGAAGATGCAGATTTCAATTTAGTAACATCAGAGACTGCAGTACACTGGAGAAGACCAAGTGTACGTATATACATCAAAATTTAGTGAATTCACTGATTGGCTGACCTCAAATGTGTGGGGTGGGGATGGGAAATTGTGCGCCTTTGACACCAACATTGAACCACCAAGACTGGGCTAAGAGAACTCGTCCTGAACTTGACTAAACTTCCACAGGTTGTTGTCAACTATACTATTGTAGAGTAGGAGTGAGTGACGTCATGTCACGCTCGCTCTCTGGTACGATAACGTCACGGATGGTGACATCATGCACAGGGAGCAGGACAGTGACATCATGTCCCCCTGGGGGATTTAAGCTGGAACCCGTCACGGGTTCAGGGTCGTCTGGAGAGTCCGGGAACGTGAAGGGTGGAAGTCGGGACCCAGGGTAGGGGGAAATTGGCACCAGGCTAGGGTAGCCTGTGGGTGTGGTAGGGACCTCCCCAGTACCCTTCCCCTGGGGGAGCGATGGGACCCCGGGGTAGGGGGAAATTGGCACCAGGCTAGGGTAGCCTGTGGGTGTGCTAGGGACCTCCCCAGTACCCTTCCCCCGGGGGAGCGATGGGACCCCGGGGTAGGGGGAAATTGGCACCAGGCTAGGGTAGCCTGCGGGTGTGCTAGGGACCTCCCCAGTACCCTTCCCCCGGGGGAGCGATGGGACCCCGGGGTAGGGGGAAATTGGCACCAGACTAGGGTAGCCTGTGGGTGTGCTAGGGAATCCCCGGTACCTTTCCCCTGGGGTGTGGAGTGTAGGCAGTGAGTGTGCAGTACACTGAGTCGTGTGCGAAGAGAGGTCTTTAATAAAACTGGGGTGAGCCCTTAATAAACGTGGCGCAAGCCCTTACACGAAGATCTGCCTCCGAGTCATAATTTACGCCTCAACACTATGATCAAGAATAATCACCATGGCCAAAGCTGTCGACACCACCACACCTCCGCAATGCTTTTTTTTTACTCTCAGCTGCTGCACAGTAGACTGGTTACCTCCCAAGAGCTTCCCTGCAAGTATCCCACCATTTGGTCTTTTAGGTGTCCCCCCGAGTCCCCCGGGGCTAGTCCCGGCAAAATGTGCCTCCCTCATCCTGCACATAATCCACCCAGGATTCGCATAATCGTATTAACGCGTACATACAGCAACACTCGCTTTTATTACACTCAAGACTTGTCTCTCTTCTCTTGCATAGTGGTTTGCATAGCCCATCAAAAAAAACCTGGCCTGCCATAGCAACGCACCTGTTGACATCCTTATCACAGCACCCTGTATTATGGGTATTACTGGCCAAGTGCACGGTCCTAAACCACCCTCTCAATTTTCTCTTCCTGTTTGTGACTTGTAATTCCTACTGCCGGAGTACACTGAAAGCCTTCTTGCTTATCAATGTGGTGGTGGTGGTTGGTGTCCAAAATTAATATCTGCACAACCACAAAAACTAACATTCGTCAATAACACTACTTTAAAAAGGAAATATATATAGATGCACACATAATGTGTTATGAAGAACCATTGCCCAAAATGTCACCCATTATTGATTAATTTCCTTTAAGGCTGTGTTATTGACCAAAATACTGTGCGCTACATCATGTGTCACTTTGATTATCTATGGTGTTCACAACCCTTATGTATGAACTTCTTTCGCATCATACGTAGCCAACCGGTGGAAGGACAACAAACTAAACACAAAAAGCAGTTCTCAACAAATTAGTTTGAAATTTAGACTTTTAAAAGTCCATAGCTCCAGTGGCTTCCTCATATCAAAAGGAAGAGCGTTCCAGACGGCCGCAGAAGCGCATTTGACAGCGAGTGATGTGGTAACCCTCTTTGATGGTTAGCCAAAAGCCACTGCGAGGATGTATGTATGTTGACCTTCTTTCGCGCCGTACGTAGACAACCGTGCTAATCGGAGGTGCGGATAACCGGTTTCTGCCCCCCGACGAGATCAGCAAGGTATTGTGGTTCATTTGTGGCAAGCACTTTGTATATAATGAGTGCGACTGTACAATGTATTCGTTCGGCAACCGGAAGCCAATGCAGCTCGGCAGACACTAGACGGACATGGTCTGCTCTTGGATTACCCGTCACAACACATGCCAAAACATGTACACACTGCAGCTTGTTAAAACACACTGCGGATTTTCAACGCTCAGTTTGATTGTTATTTTTTTAACTCAGATAAACACTTCTAGAATCACGAAATGTGCCCCACGCCACTACCTCCTTCGCCCTCGAGTCCACTGTGAACACCTCCAGTACCCCAGCGTTCAGCCAGCTCACCTGCACGCCGTGTGGAGTCATTACATCCGTGCAGCCAACCGGGTACGGTCCCGTTCCTGGCGGAATCCCTGCCATATTCCTGCACCACGACAACAGTAGACGACGTGTCACGGTGGCAGCAAACAATACAAGTGCAAGCATTCATTAAGGAGACAACCACAGCGCTGCAATTACATTTGTAGGTGCAGCCCATTAGTGACCGAGGCAAGCATGAACAGGAATGTCCCCAAGCTCGTCTCTTCTTGGAAGCTAAGGAGGACCGAGGCAGGATAATGCTTGGATGGGTGCCCACCATGCATGTGTAAGCGATCGGCGAGCCACCCTCACGCACACACACCACGCAGACATGAAATCTCCGCACTCAGTATAACACGCACCAATCACACGCACGGGAACAGACTAGATGGGGGTCAAGGGTTAGAGGGCACTGACGTCACCACGACCAGGCGTGTGATACGTGGATGTGTATTGGGAACGAGGGCGGAGATGGAGGGGTTAAAAGGGGCTGTGAGACGCGTGTTGGGGATGGGTTTTGGAACGGGTGTTGCTGTGGGTTGGATAAATAAAGAAGTGCTTAACCAGTCTCCGACTCCTCTTCACATGCATGACAGGTTGTTGTAGGCTGCATAATGAAGCAGTTGACCAGAATCGTAAAGCATTCTCATCAACGAAACTTCAGTAAGGGAGCCTGCATATAGGTGTCTTAGCATAAAGGATATGATTATAACTCCGTTCTGTCTCCGCATGTAAAATTTTTAATGTTTCAAGTCCGTCAGCCCATTGGTTTTGCAGGCCAATATTATTCAGCAGCATTTTCTTAAGCAGGCAATTGCTAGACCGGTTTCAACCTTCTGGGTCTCATCAGCAGTCAGGCTTGATGTTATTGGTTCCCTGTTCAATGAAAAGATTGAAATGTGGTATACAGTATACTCTCCCAGTGCGTTGTTGTTTGCACATATATCAGGTATCTATAATAGTAAGTTTCTTATATTTAGTGTATTTCAAGCAAATTGCATCTAAAAATGCCGAACACTGTGAACATTTTAACGTAAAAAGGGTTGTGCACACCACAAATAACCAACACATATATAACAAAACAACACGTGATCAAGGGTCCAGGGGTAAACATATAACAAACTTTTCGTGAACTATGTTACGGACTATTCCTACGCCGCAGTCTTGTAGCGTATAGGACAGTCCATCCCGCAGTCACCCCAGACACAGAACGGCATGGGGTGACAGGCAACTACTGAGCTCCCGACATCAGAAAAAGTCCAGGGAATGACCCAGGAAGGTGTTTAAAGTCACCACCAACTCCCTGGATGGTCCAACTTCCCACTCCAGGCCCTCAGAAGCAGCAGCAGCAGCACCACCAGTTCTGCTAGATCAGCAGGACCATGGATTCCCCCCCACCCCATTACCTCTCACCTACTGTGAGTCTCCCCCCCCCGCCCACGTGACCTCTCACCTACTGTGAGTCTCCCCCCGCCCCGCCCACGTGACCTCTCACCTACTGTGAGTCCCCCCCGCCCCGCCCACGTGACCTCTCACCTACTGAGTCACCAACCAAACCGCACCTCCGGTTGGCTACGGTTGGCTACGTACGGCGTGGAAGACGTTCAACATGCAGGTATATACTGTACATACAACCCCCACCACTCACTGCCTTAGAATCATCTGAATGACTCAGGAAGGCCATATTAATGTAGGATCATTTAAAAACGGCCACTCTGAAATCAAGGCTTACGACATACTTTGTTGTATAATGTAGCCTTCTGATTTCATTCTGTCATCTTACAGTTTCACTCCTCTCTCCTTCTCTCGATGTATCGTTATTATTTCACTAGCTTTTTTGCCCGTCCAAGGACGGGTGTATATTGCAGTAAATCTGAAATATTCAATAGAAAAATTGTTCGGCTCATGATTATTAATGAGGGGGGGAGTTTTCCCATGTGGAGTGAGGTCACCGCCTCATGTTTTTTTGTGGAGGGGTGCGGCATGTGGAGTGACGTCACTCCCTCATGGTTAAATTTCGATTTAAAGCTTTCGTGACTGCAAGGATTCATCTTCTTTGGTTCTTTCGGTAAAGTCACGTAGAATGAGAATAAAATAATAAATTGATCAAATAAAATAACACAATAAAATTCTCACGACGTTTCGGCCACAACACAAGCGGCCTTCATCAGGTGAAGGGACGAGACTGTCTGGAGGACAGCGCTGGAGCGAAAAAGCCAAGCTCAGATCGCGACCTTTAAGCTGTGTGAGAAGAAACAAAGCGCCTTGACAAATGAATTAGCATTATATTTAGCATTGAAATAGCTGAGTGATTAGCTTGTGACTGGTCACAGAAATGGCTATGTTAAAGTTAAAGCATACACATCCGCAGAGGCACCCCTTGACAAAGGAATTAGCATAGAATTTAGCATTGAAATAGCTGAGTGATTAGCTTGTAACTGGTCACAGAAATAGCTATGTTAAAGTCAGAGCATACACATTCACAAAGGCACCTAGTACAAATCAAACAGGAGAATTTAGAATTGAAATAACTAGGCGAATTTAGCATTGAAATAACTGAGTGATTAGCTTGTGACTGGTCACAGAAATGGCTATGTTGAAGTCAAGGCCTACACATCTGAGCTATTCACAGTAACTGGGTATACACTACAATATATAATGAATACTATATAGGGAACCAATAAAAAACTAAAATATAAATTACCTCAATGTTGTCAATAAACTCTATATATTCTCCAATCAGCTAAGCTACCAACATATCACATTGCTATATGGCGAAAAAATGGGTGGATTCTTACCCTCAACTTTAGCAACACGGATAGCTACTGGCCCCGTTCAGACGGACGAGTTCATCCATGGTCGGAACAGAGGAGGGGGAGAGAGACAGCTGCGAGGTGCTGTTATACTCCATGTTGTAAACCATACCATTAACCGTGGTGTGAGAGGTATTAAGAGTCAATGCCAGCGAAAGAGCTGCGGTCTGAAGGTCATCGTAAAATACAATTAATTAAGAATGGAAATGGTTTAAAACATCTTTCCAATGGTTACTAAGCCAGAATCCATTTTCTCGGTTTAAATTGTCTCTGTGCTTGTATATGTAAATGGCCTAATGAACGAATCTCTCATGGTAGCCGGTTGGTTTGCAAAGAACCTCCGTCTTGGAGAAGTCAATGTCATGTGAGCCCACTGAATTATAACAGTATTCATTATATATTGTAGTGTATACCCAGTTACTGTGAATAGCTCAGATGTGTAGGCCTTGACTTCAACATAGCCATTTCTGTGACCAGTCACAAGCTAATCACTCAGTTATTTCAATGCTAAATTCACCTAGTTATTTCAATGCTAAATTATCCTGTTTGATTTGTACTAGGTGCCTCTGTGAATGTGTATGCTCTGACTTTAACATAGCTATTTCTGCGACCAGTTACAAGCTAATCACTCAGCTATTTCAATGCTAAATTCTATGCTAATTCCTTTGTCAAGGGGTGCCTCTGCGGATGTGTATGCTTTAACTTTAACATAGCCATTTCTGTGACCAGTCACAAGCTAATCACTCAGCTATTTCAATGCTAAATTCTATGCTAATTCCTTTGTCAAGGCGCTTTGTTTCTTCTCACACAGCTTAAAGGTCGCGATCTGAGCGTGGCTTTTTCGCTCCAGCGCTGTCCTCCAGACAGTCTCGACCCTTCACCTGATGAAGGCAGCTTGTGTTGTGGCCGAAACGTCGTGAGAATTTTATTGTGTTATTTTATTTTATCAATTTATTATTTTAATTCTCATTCTACGTGACTTTACCGAAAGAACCAAAGAAGACTCCTCATGGTTATTGTGGAGGGGTGCGGCATGTGGAGTGACGTCACCCCCTCATGGTTGTTGTGGAGGTGTGCGACATGTGGAGTGACGTCACCCCCTCATGGTTGTTGTGGAGTGGTGCGACATGTGGAGTGACGTCACCCCCTCATGGTTGTTGAGGGGCGCGGCATGTGGAGTGACGTCACCCCCTCATGGTTTTTGTGGAGGGGTGCGGCATGTAGAGTGACGTCACCCCGTCATGGTTATTGCGGAGTGGTGCGGCATGTAGAGTGACGTCACCCCCTCATGGTTATTGTGGAGGGGTGCGGCATGTAGAGTGACGTCACCCCCTCATGGTTGTTGTGGAGGGGTGCGACATGTGGAGTGACGTCACCCCCTCATGGTTGTTGTGGAGGGGCGCGGCATGTAGAGTGATGTCACCCCCTCATGGTTGTTGTGGAGGGGTGCGGCATGTGGAGTGACGTCACCCCCTCATGGTTGTTGTGGAGGGGCGCGGCATGTGGAGTGACGTCACCCCCTCATGGTTGTTGAGGGGTGCGGCATGTGGAGTGACGTCACCCCCTCATGGTTGTTGTGGAGGGGTGCGGAATGTAGAGTGCGCGACCTTGTGCGTTAAATCTTGACTTAAGGCTTTCGTGACAGCAGGAATTCATATTCTTTGCGTCTTTCGGTAAAGCCACGTAGATAGAAAAATTATAAAAATAATAACAATATCACGACGTTTCAATCGCATCACAAGCAATTGTCATCAGGTGAAAAATATAGCGGGAGAGCTGCTGAGGCAGGAAAAATTATATGGCGAGAGCGCTGCTAAGGCAGGGAGTTATAAAATGTTTCAGACGGGTGTAGCCCAACGGTCAGTGGGCGGGGCTAGAGATGGGTGTAGCCCAAGGGTCAGTGGGCAGGGCTAGAGATGGGTGTAGCTCAAGGGTCAGTGGGCGGGGCTAGAGATGGGTGTAGCCCAAGGGTCAGTGGGCGGGGCTAGAGATAAAATTTGCATGTAAATCTTGACAAACGAAGCTGGGGAGATGGCCATTGTATTGTGAGAGATTAGCATGTCAATGTAAGAAATTTGAATGTAAATATAATCTCGGAAAGAGCTCGGAAAGAGCCATCGCCACATGGATGTGAAAAAGAATGGCAAGCCGCCATTTACTAACACAGCTAACCAAGGCCGTAGCCATGGAGTCAATATTGGGGGGGACCAAATCTTCCAGGGCATCTGGGGGTGTTCCACCCCCCCCCAGAAAAAAATCTGCCACCCTTCCTCTTACTCATGATGACACTCACTGTAAATGATAGCTGACTGTAATAAAACTGCTTGCACTTTAATCAAAGAAACACTAATAATGCTATTTATCATAAGCAAGTACACCTATACATTATACCATACGAATATGCAATAAATGAAAGCTACTACAAATATGACACATGCAACACAACATAAATGATTGACACTTTACTCAGACTTCATGTGGGCTTTCTGACAAATACATTCACATTAGTTCAATACACCCATGAGCGCCATTATTGGTCGCTGGGTGAATGTGTGGCTAATTAACTTTCCAAGTAACTTTCCAAATGGTTGATTGATTAGCAATCGTAAATCGGCCCATTTTCACAAAAAAAAATTTGTTCAACTCGACAGTGATATAGCCTACGTAACACTCATATTACATTCTAGTTTTCCACTTTTTTTATTAATTTTAAAGTAATGAAATGGAGAGACAGGACAGTGTTTGACATAGATTGTACCTACCCACAGCAGTCGAGCAACAGCTTCTGCTGGGGTACGGCAACACCACTTGGACAATCCACACGCAGAACTGCAGTACACCGTAATACAAGAACCGGTAGTAGTAATAATGGAAATTTGTTAAGTTTAGTTATGATTATAATTACATTTGCTAATAATTTCGGATGGCGGTGTGTGGTTGCCTGTCGTAGCATAGCAATTATTATTTTTTAAATATTTTTAATATCAATATAATGGGGGGGGACATTGACCGCATTTTTAAATATTGGGGGGGGATATGTACCCCCCAATCAATATTATAATTACGGCCTTGTAGCTAACGGTGGCTGTGTTAGTGAATGTAAGTCAGAGAGTCGAAAATAACTGTTAACATAGTTACATAGGAAGGGAACAACACAGCCAGTTATGACCTAAACTGGTTAATAACGTCCTTCCAATGATTGCTCAGTTTGTCCCCATCTTCTTGGTTGAAATTGTGTCTGTCTATATATCTGGATGGCTTCATGAACAAATCTTTGCTGATAGCCAGTGGGTTTGCAGAGTATCTTCGTCTTGGCAAAATCTATTTCGTGTGTGCCCACAACGTTAAAATAATGATCAGCCACGGCTGAGGTATTGGTCCTACCGTGTTTCAGATCTGCCTTATGTTCACGAACCCGGTCCGAGACATGTTGCTTAGTTTCCCCAATGTAACTGCTGCCACAGACACAGCTTAGTTTGTAGACACCGGGGTATTGCATGTCAGGGATAACATCCTTCACAGATGGGATGAAATCACAAATTTTATGTACTGTGTTGAATCGCACCTGGATCTTGTGTTTGCTCATGATTTTGTACATATTTTTGGTGACCCCTGCTATGTATGGCAAGGTGATGGTTTTGATTGGGTCCTCAGATAGTTCTTTCCCAACAGTTGGGGTGATAGCTTTACGGATTGTGTAATCTGGAAATGTTTTTTTCATCCCAATTTTTGTGATGTGGCAATGAAACTAGTGGCATGAAAGGGGCTCTACAGATGATTATAATTACTTCTCAACAGGGTTAGGATGGCATGAATGGTTGTTTCAGTAGCAGCTCCATTTATTAACTTGCATCCGGGATGACTCCCAGATCCAAAATCAGTTTGACAACCATTCGTGACCCAATCAAGTAACATGAACAGATGAAAAGCGTCCTCTTGAGTGAATAAATAAGTTTAAGTATCTCAGCTGTTTTGTTATTGGGCAATACATAGGCTGTATCTATACATTGCATCTACAAATAGTCAGTATACTTGCAGTCACGTACAGGACATATTCCTTTGCATATGTACATTCTTACAAATACAAATATCCCCCTTTCACAGACTGTTGGGACAAGTTCTGCTTGCAAGCACCAACTAAAGCCGGCACGGCACACGAGGGGGTGGCGCGTGACCAACACCACGCCCGGCCGCCTTTGTCTCCCCCAGTGCCGATGTTTACATTTAAGCCGGAGTCGACCTTGTCTACGACCCAGGGACAGCCACAGAGATATATTCACCACTGTCACGGGAATACAACTCGGCCCTTTTCCGGCTTCGTAGGGCAGTGCGTAAATAGACTGCGCCTCCTCTCCCCACAATCTGGCAACGCCACGCTACAAATCTGCTGACCTCGCAGAGCAAATTAACTCAAAAGTGTTTTTTGTTTGTTAAATCTTACAGCTCGATCCCCTACCGAGCTACAGAGATCCTCTTTTTTCGTCAGAAGCGACCTGGCCACAAATGAATGCTGGAGGACGTGGCTTATCGCGTGAACATTTATATCAGCCAAGACACCCTGAACGCGTGATGTTTATTCTAAATGTTCATGTTACGGGAGAAAAAGGAGGCACGTAAACTATATTATCAGAGCATATTTGTTTGCACGTTTTTGCCACGAGCACGTGTTAATGCAGACGCGAATGCCTTTCAAAGGGTACCCACCTATTCGGTGCGCGAACATCTTAAAGCACGTATCCGATTATTGCCAAAGAGAACAATTATGATCTCACTCTTTGGTTCTTTCGGTAAAGTCACGTAGAAAGAGTAAATAATAAATAACAAAAATAGCATACGACGTTTCGATAGCAACACAAGCAATCATCATCATCATCAGATGATGATGCTATTATTTAATTTATTTTCTCTTTCTACGTCACTTTACCGAAAGAACCAAGGAGTAATTCCTGCAGCCACGAAAGCTCCAAATCAAATATGATCTCATTATTTTCCTTTGCTCCGAACACAGAACACCCAGGCATGGTCAGGCTCGAGACGGACGCCACGGTCCCACCTTGCACACCGGGCGAGTTGGTGAACACCGTTGTGGACTGTGAGATCGCTCACCTGGTGATAGCAGCAGCAGCAGGCAGCCCTTATCTGAAGACCAAAGGACTTCGAGGCAACTTGGTCTCACGATAATCGCCCTGCAGTCGAGGAGCCTGTGGCCAAGCAAAAAAAACAAAGAATCGAAATTTAAATTTAAAAAAACCACGTATCAAAGGAGTAAACCTCATACTACTATCTCGACACCTGTAAATCAAACACGGATGATAACATACAGTCGAGGTCACGCAGCTTACAGCACGCAACGTACAAAGACAAATATCCCCCATATAGCCTTAACAGACTGTAGGGGCAAGTGCTGTTAGCGAGCACCTATGAAGGCCGGAACGGTACACGAGGGGGTGGGTGGCCAGCACCACGCCCGACCGCCTTTGTCTCCCTAGTGGCGATGTTTACACACCGCACCAGGTACTCATTTGAGGCTGAGTCGACCTAGGGGAGGCCCGGGACCGAGTTAAGATAATCGTCACTGGTGTTGGCCGTGAGCGGGAAACGAACCCGGGTCGCTGGGTTCATAGCGCAGCGCGCTAACCGCTACACTATCGCTCCCCCACACACACACTGTCACACACACACTGCTCCCCACACACACTGCCACACACACACAAACTGCCCCCCACACACACACACACTGCCCCCCACACAGACACACTGCCCCCCCCACACACACTGCCACACACACACACACACTGCCACACCACACACACACACTGCCCCACACACACACACACACTGCCACACCACACACACACACTGCCACACACACACACACTGCCACACACACACACTGCCACACACACACTGCCCCACACACACACTGCCCCACACACACTGCCCCACACACACTGCCCCACACACACTGCCCCACACACACTGCCACACCACACACACACACTGCCCCACACACACACACACTGCCACACACACACACTGCCACACCACACACACACACTGCCCCACACACACACACACTGCCACACACACACACACACTGCCACACACACACTGCCCCACACACACGCACTGCCCCACACACACACACTGCCACACACACACTGCCACACCACACACACACTGCCCCACACACACACAGTGCCACACACACACACATTGCCACACACACACACATTGCCACACACACACACACACTGTCACACACACACACTGCCACACCACACACACACTGCTCCACACACACTGCTCCACACACACTGCCCCACACACACTGCCCCACACACACTGCCCCACACACACTGCCCCACACACACACACACCACCACACACACACACTGCCACACACACACACAAACACTGTCCCACACCACACACACACACTGCCCCACACCACACACACACACTGCCCCACACACACACAGTGCCACACACACACACTGCCCCACACACACACAGTGCCACACACACACATTGCCACACACACACTGCCACACCACACACACACTGCCCCACACACACACACACTGCCACACCACACACTGTCACACACACACACTGCCCCACACACACACACACTGCCCCACACACACACAAACACTGCCCCACACCACACACACACACACTGCCACACACACACTGCTACACACACACACACTGCCACACCACACACACACACTGCTACACCACACACACACACTGCTACACACACCATGTGTGTGTGTGGAGGGGCAGAAATGTGCAAACTCACACGAGCGCTGACGAGATGACAGACAGCCAACCAAACCTCACACACACACACAAGACACAAGGGCAGTCGTCGATTGCAGAGCACAACACACGACACACCACACACACACAACACACACGACACAACACACACACGACACAACACACACACACGACACAACACACACAACACACACGACACTACACACACGACACGACACACACAACACACACGACACAACACACACGACACAACACACACACACGACACAACACACACACACACACGACACAACACACACACGACACACACAACACACACACGTCTACTGCGGGTGCAACTTACAAAGGGGGCGATCGCAAAACGTCGTCCTCGCAGCCACTCGGCAGCGTTGTTTGGACTCGAGCAGCAGCCACACACACAGCGCTCTGCGTATGGCGTGTTGCTGTGTGTCGCTGTGTGTGTTGTGTGTCGCTGTGTGTGTTGCTGTGTGTGTGTCGCTGTGTGTGTTGCTGTGTGTGTGTCGCTGTGTGTGTGTTGCTGCGTGTGTCGCTGTGTGTGTGTTGCTGTGTGTGTGTCGCTGTGTGTGTGTTGCTGCGTGTGTCGCTGTGTGTGTGTTGCTGTGCGTGTGTCGCTGTGTGTGTGTTGCTGTGTGTGTGTCGCTGTGTGTGTTGTGTTGCTGCGTGTGTCGCTGTGTGTTGTGTCGCTGTGTATCGCTGTGTGTTGCTGTGCGTGTGTCGCTGTGTGTAGCTGTGTGTGTGTCGCTGTGTGTGTAGCTGTGTGTAGCTGTGTGTCGCTGTGTGTGTAGCTGTGTGTGTGTCGCTGTGTGTGTGTAGCTGTGTGTGTGTAGCTGTGTGTGTGTGTCGCTGTGTGTGTATCGCTGAGCGTCTTGCTCTTGCGTGAGACCCACTCCAAACCCGCACGCCGACGGCAAGCGACTGCGAGTGAACACGAGTGGAGAAGGACGAGGTGGAGGACGAGGTGGGACTCACCGTTCACGCGTCTCGTCAACCACACAGACACACAGACACTACGCCTCAACACGTGCCACCTTCCTTATAGGTCCAGGAGGAACGCCCCTCGAGTTACATTGCACAACCCACACCGCGTGCCATGCGCTTGCGACTACTGTACGTCCTTGTGCGCACACAAACAAAATACGGTTATTTAGCCCTAAAAACATTTAAGTAAAGTTAGTTTTTTATATATATAAAGAAAGAGAACACAAAAAAGTAATTGTGTGATTTATGTTTTTACCCTTCCGATACTTTGGGGGGGGGGGGCGTCCATAAATGACGTCACGCGATTTTTTACGATTTTTGCCCCCCCCTTCGTCACAGGGCGTCACAAAGTCAGACCCCCCCTCAAATATGACGTCACAAAGCTCTGCCCCCCCCCCCCCCAAAAAATATAAAACATGCTTCAAATCGATTTAAACTATTGTCATTGTAGTGCGTACTTAATGTGCCGCTGCACTCTGATGCTGTAGGAGAAAACATTAAAAAGTCTAATTAAGTAGAACGTGTTTATATTTATTTATTATCACCCCCCCCATCGTCACACATCGTCACAAATGTCTGACCCCCCCCCCGGTACGTGACGTCATTTATGGACGGCCCTTTTGCACTCCTATCCGTGTTTTTTTTGTATGATTGTTGTAACTTTCTGACCCGCCCCTACTGGACATGTGTGAAAAAGAGCTTTATAGCTCATCGGATTCCTCCAGCATAAAGATTCCGATTCATTTCACGTCCATCCCAACCGCCCCGTCCCCCATGGCCCACGTCCCCCAGCATCAGCAGACATTTGGAGGACCAACAACGATGGTGTGATTTGTTGCGAGGTTTGATTTTCCTACTACGTTTTCGATTTTCTACCAACATGTTTAACAAAGCGATTTAATACAATCCTCAAGTTTGCATTGCAGCTCTCAGTGCTGGAACAATGTGATACTATCAGACCATCGAGTAAACACGCTTAACACAGGCTCCCCAAGCAAATGTACTCTTTCTGTAATGTGTAACCACAGTGTTACTGTAAAGTATTTAGAACGAAGCGAGGACACACCCGGCGAATGTGAAGATAAAACCATGGGTGGAGTGTCAATTCTGCTCTCAACCACTGAGAAGAGCTTTCTATTGTGCAATCAACATCACGAAATTACCACTCGGACAAATAGCTGTACTATACTGTACTTGAATTAATACATGCACTTCATTGTATTCTGGAATAATCATAAAATCATTCAACTTTGGGGGGGGGGGGGGAGAGATAAACAGAGCAAATGCCAGTCATATAGTGATACGTGCAAGGAAAATTGAATTGTGTTGTGTGACTAGTACATCGGATGAAGAGTCGTGACATCGGATGAACAGTAGTACATCGGGGGAAGGACAAACTAAACACAAAAAGCAGTTCTAAAAAAAAAAAGTTTTCAACTCAGATTTAAACGTCCATATAGCTCCAGTGGCTTCCTTATATTGAAACGAGCGTTCCAGACGGCCGCAGAAGCGCATCTGGAAGCGCGCGATGCGGTAACCCGTCCTTGTTCGATGGCTAGCTAAAAGCCACCGCGAGGACGTATGTTCGCTGGACTCCTTTTGCGACCCAAGTCGACCAAAGCGCGCAAATCGGCCGGCGCGAGGTTGAACAGGTTTGCCCGTCACTCGGCGGGAGAAGATCTGCCAACTCATTCACCGCTGTACGCAAGAGCGCTTGGGTACCATCAACTCCGGGCATGTGGCCCGCCTCGAGTGCCTCGAGCAAAGGTCACTTGGAATCAGCAGCGAGCCGATGCAGCCACACGAGAGAGTAACAAAAGTCCCCGTTATTTGCAAGCGGCGTTTATTCAGACAACAATTAAAACAGACGTGCGTATAATCGTCAAACTAAAATCAAGGCAACACGGGTACTTCGTGTCAATGCTTGTTGGTTAACACCGATTAGAATGCAATGCGTGTCTGGCTCGCATACCTCGACTGGTTTGGCATTTTCTACTAACAAAAAATATAATCGAAAATGAGGATCACATGGCAGTGTGCATTTAGCAGAATCATAAGGAGTGCAATAACAAGGAAACATTACATGGCAGTGGTAGAAATTGCATCTTTTCAAAGCACATTAAACCAGCGTTTCTCGCCTACCGTTATCACAGACCAATTGGATCTACCAATTATAAAAGTGCACATTATTAGTTACTGAATCAATATAAGAAAAAGTGTAATATAAGGCGGTGTTCATAATAGATGAGAATCTGACAATCACAGCATTAAACATAAGCTCTAACAATTTTAGCGCATAAACATATTCCATACTTCATATTTAACACCAAACATCCGCTTCCATCTGCAAGTTAGAGTACAATACATTGCTCACTTCTAAAAAGAAAATGGCAATGAATAGCTAAACAATGCAAGAAAACTCTGCAAGGATAAATTTGATTAAGTCGGCAATTGATCACTCATAATACAAGAGACACAGACAATTAGCATCAGCTCATTGTTTTCATCAAGAGAATACAATTATCATTAGGCAACATTCAGTCCCACCTGCAAGTTATAGTCCCAATATACTGCACACTTATAATTGATCATTGAATGACCACCAATAGCTAAACCAGGCATACAGTGAGGGAAAAACGTATTTGATCCCCTGCTGATTTTGTACGTTTGCCCACTGACAAAGAAATGATTAGTCTATATTTTTAATGGTAGGTTTATTTGAACAGTAAGAGACAGAATAACAACAAAATCCAGAAAAACGCATGTCGAAAATGTTATAAATTTATTTGCATTTTAATGAGGGAAATAAGTATTTGACCCCCTCTGCAAAACATGACTTATATTTGGTGGCAAAACCCTTGTTGGCAATCACAGAGGTCACACGTTTCTTGTAGTTGGCCACCAGGTTTGCACACATCTCAGGAGGGATTTTGTCCCACTCCTCTTTGCAGATCTTCTCCAAGTCATTAAGGTTTCGAGGTTGACGTTTGGCAACTCGAACCTTCAGCTCCCTCCACAGATGTTCGATGGGATTAAGGTCTGGAGACTGGCTAGGCCACTCCAGGACCTTCATGTGCTTCTTCTTGAGCCACTCCTTTGTTGCCTTGGCCGTGTGTTTTGGGTCATTGTCATGCTGGAATACCCATCCACGACCCATTTTCAATGCCCTGGCTGAGGGAAGGAGGTTCTCACCCAAGATTTGACGGTACATGGCCCCGTCCATCGTCCCTTTGATGCGGTGAAGTTGTCCTGTCCCCTTAGAAAAACACCCCCAAAGCATAATGTTTCCACCTCCATGTTTGACGGTGGGGATGGTGTTCTTGGGGTCATAGGCAGCATTCCTCCTCCTCCAAACACGGTAAGTTGAGTTGATGCCAAAGAGCTCCATTTTGGTCTCATCTTACCACAACACTTTCACCCAGTTGTCCTCTGAATCATTCAGATGTTCATTGGCAAACTTTAGACGGGCATGTATATGTGCTTTCTTGAGCAGGGGGACCTTGGTGACTATGGTCCCAGTTGCCTTGAGATCATTGACCAGATCCTCCCGTGTAGTTCTGGGCTGATTCCTCACCGTTCTCATGATCATTACAACTCCACGAGGTGAGATCTTGCATGGAGCCCCAGGCCGAGGGAGATTGACAGTTCTGTTGTGTTTCTTCCATTTGTGAATAATCGCACCAACTGTTGTCACCTTCTCACCAAGCTGCTTGGCAATGGTCTTGTTGCCCATTCCAGCCCTGTGTAGGTCTACAATCTTGTCCCTGACAAGATTTTGTCTTGTCCTTGGAGAGCTCTTTGGTCTTGGCCATGGTGGAGAGTTTGGAATCTGATTGACTGATTGCTTCTGTGGACAGGTGCCTTTTATAGAGGTAACAAGCTGAGATTAGGAGCACTCCCTTTAAGAGTGTGCTCCTAATCTCAGCTCGTTACCTGTATAAAAGACACCTGGGAGCCAGAAATCTTTCTGATTGAGAGGGGGTCAAATACTTATTTCCCTCATTAAAATGCAAATCCATTTATAAAAATTTTGACATGCGTTTTTCTGGATTTCTGTTGTTATTCTGTCTCTCACTGTTCAAATAAACATACCATTAAAATTATAGACTGATCATTTCTTTGTCAGTGGGCAAACGTACAAAATCAGCAGGGGATCAAATACTTTTTTCCCTCACTGTAAAAGGAATGAAGGATTTTTAATTTGATTTAGCACGCCGATTGGCTTGGTCAGGTGGCACACAGATCACGTGTGATCAGTGCTTGATGGTGATCGTCTTGACATCGGTGAAGAACTCGAACGAGTCCTTGGCCCCCTCGCGCCCGATGCCCGACGCCTTCATCCCCCCGAAGGGCAGATTGAGCTCGCGGATGAGCCAGCAGTTGGTCCACACGATGCCAGCCTGCAGACGCTTGGCCACGCGATGCACTCGTGCCACGTCCCTGGACCACACCACCGCCGCCAGCCCGTAGCGCACGCCATTGCTGCGGGTCACCGCCTCGTCCTCGTCCTCGAAGGGTGACACGCACACGACCGGTCCGAAGATTTCCTCCTGCATGGCGGGCGAGTCGTCGGGCACGCCCGTGATGACCGTGGGCGCCAGGAAGTAGCCGCCCTGGCACCGCGGGGGCAGCAGCAGGGGATCCACTCCCTCGCCACACAGCACTTGGCCGCCGTCCCGCTCCGCCAGCTCCACATAGCCCCGCACCTGCGCGCACGCCAACGCACGCACGCGGCATCGCACCGGTCGGGGAGTTTGTAGCTACCAGATCAAGGAAGCCGAGTAGGGTTGAGACGAATTTGTACTAGTGTAGGGTACTCTGCTTGGGGGATACCAAGTGTTAAAGGACAAGAGCAAAAACATCTGCCATTCACCAATTCGTGGCATTGAGGTCACCATCGTTCTTGTGCCAGGCTACATGCACGGATAATTACGCACATATACACACACACAAAGGGTACAAATTGTTGTCCTGCAACAATAGGCCACATTATTACCACTGCAGAACGGCCCACAAAGATATATGTCCATTACTGCAAGCATCTTAGCCACACGAATCAGGTACTTGAAGGGTATAAATTCGACATGGCAAAAACGGTCTTTCTAGTTTTAGCATACTCAGAGGCCCCTGCAAGGACTTCTGTCCCTACAGGGGCCTCTTTATATTCCATCAACACGCACACAATTTTTTCCGTAATTATTCGATGATGCTGAGGTGCGTATTAATGTGCGGTTGCAAGTCCGATTGGGCAACCGATTAAAGGCACGGTACCTCATCCCTGCCCTAACCACAGCACCACACACGCACCTTTGCGAGGTGCTCCTTGCTGATGAGGGGTCCCATGTTGGAGGTGAAGTCATCTGGAGGTCCCACCTTCCATGCACGGGCTGCTTTGACAAACTTTTCCAGGAACTCCTTGAAAATGGGCCTCTGCACGTAGATGCGACTTGTGCACAGGCAGATCTCTCCCTGCAGGAAGAAACGTTAGAGAGCAAAAAATCTTAATCCAGCATCATTTCAGTGGCGCTTGGTCCGAAGAAAAAATTCTCCGGTGGTAAATTCAAGAATCGTCCAAATGCCACTGCGGTACACTTCAACAGTGGAACACGTGGTGAACGCATGTTCACTGCGAGTAGTATACACATTATGTCCTCTGAAGCCATCAGCTGGATTTACAACTTAGATATAGATTTCTTGCCGATACTCAATTCATATCCATACACAAGCGATTCATCTATAGATGGACATAATAAGCCACTGCTAGGCATTTGAAGATTAATTTATGCATAGAATAAAATGTATATGTTATGCTCACAAAATATGCATCGACTCAATCATATTAACAATTATTTTCAATTCAAGTAAATTATATGCAAATTTTACCAGAAGGTCAATGGTTAGCACAATCATAATAAATGGCAAAATTGAATTTAAGGGATACACAGTAAGTTGATACACAGTACCTTATGAGATTATAAAAAGGGTGAAAATAGTTGAGGCAGCCAACACAAACAAGATGCTGTAAACAAAACAATAATTATTGCAATAATCACGACTCCCAATCTTGACAATTCATCAAAATGACGCAGCAGGGGGTGAATCATTCATGTGCCTTTTAGGGGTGTAAACATTCATTAAATCATTAGTTAATGGTGACCTTAATCTCACTATAACTGCATCATCTGGTGCGTAAGAATAGTTTACATGTGATAACGAGTGTGCATGACCCCTCCAACCACTAGAGGCTGCTAGATTCACGACAATGTAAAAAAATATATTTAATTATCGTAATGATATAACAACACTAGCGGCTATTAGTATCTCAAACTGGTCTGAGCCTCTCCCCTTTGGTCGGGGTGGAAATGCAGCCCTGAAAATTCTTGTCCGCACCACCGTTCACAGAAAGGCCTCCACTAGAGGGAGTTCTAAAGAAACGCCGGGGGTATTTTGGCCTCCTCTTACACACTTGGCCAGATATCTTGGAAGAGCTAAGCACCCAAACTTTACCCCATCGCACGCAACCGGCCGATCGACTGTGCTGGTGGTGTACCCACATTTGTACTGCTGCGTGGACAAGAGGCAGGGGGATTTAAGTCCAGTGTGCTTACCATTGCACCACAACCGAATGGGAAAATATAGCTGATGAACTTTGCTATGAATAAAAGCCCATCGCACATGGGCAGCAGCATGGCCTAGTGGTAGCACGTTTTCTGCTTGTTTCAAAAATTTGCAGTTCGAGCTCTGCGGCCGCCATGATCCATGCCGTCTATTTTGTAGTGGACACTAAACATTCTGTAAAGTTATTTTCTTTAAAAAAAAAAGAGTAGGTCACGTGTGCTGGTGTGTATCCAATTTGAGGGAACTATTGGTACTGATAAAGTTTTTTTTTTCCTTTTTATTCCGGTTCCGTTCCGATAACGTAGACGTACATGTCATCGGAACGGGAAAGCGTTTAACCGAGAGCGATGATGGCACGTGGCCTGTCGGAAAAACACAGCCGGACGAGCCCCCCCCCCCCCGCGGCTGTAAGCGAAAAGGCCCCCCCCCCCATCGACCTGGTTGGCAAAGCTGGATCGGACGGTGGTCGCCACGCAGGCGTCGAGGTCAGCATCGGCGAAGATGACGGCGGGGTTCTTCCCGCCGAGCTCCAGGGACAGTCGCTTGCAGTGGAGGGCGCTCCGCACGGTGATGTCGCACGCCGTGGCCGTGCTGCCCGTGAAGGAGATAGCCGGGACGTCGGGGTGGCCCACGAGGGCGGCGCCCGCCTTCTGGCCCGTGCCCAGGACCACGTTCACCACGCCGGGCGGCACGCCTGAACCGTAGAATCACTCAATGATGCGTTGCTTCATTCGGTTATTGCAGAATCTCACGTTCGCGATAGGTGCATTGCATTTTGCGCGGGAGAATGGATGATTACTTATGGGAATTGTTCAGCAATTATGCGCTATATATTTTAATGGAATTAATTTAAAAAAAAACAAGACAATACCATTGAGATGGCAAAAAGAATAAAGTCTTGAAAAGAATGACCATAATTTTGGAACAATTCATAATATCACTGCTGGGATGAATAATTAAATACCTCATCAACAGTTTTGCCTACTGACTCCGTTAATTTTACACAGGCCATATCATTAAAATAGTTGTGCAATTGTATAGCAAGCAGTTCATAACCTCCAATTTGCCAGTCTCCATGGATTACATGTTCAGCAATTAACACAGGAACATAATGTGAACTGCATTGACTCGTAACGTGAGAATCCCTCAAGCTGTAGTATGGCAAACAAGAATGAGACCCTTATTCTTTTGTTCGGACTTTAACGTAGTATACTAGAGTCAAGTTGTTGCAAACGTCATTATTTTTTTACGATCATCAAAACTGATCAAAGATACGCGCAACTGACCATAAAGTATATTCGGTTTTATCGTAGCTGTGATTATTCAACAAAATGCAGCTCCCATTAATGGACGTTCATCGTTGACAGGGATGACGATGCAATGTCTACTCGTGAAACTATGCCAGAGTGCTTGGCTTGCTATGAATGTCCACGTGATAAGCCACTTCATTTAGTGATAATTTTCGACCAGGTCACTTCTGAAAAAGAGCCGCATAGCTCAGTATGCCTTAACTGGTAAAATTAAAATTTTAAAAATGTAACATAAACAATAAATCTGTAGCCAATAGCACAACCGGAATAGCATCAGGTAAATGTAACGGCTATTACAAGAAATGAGCAAAGTTATAGATTTTTCACAACAAGCAAAATGTAAAAGGCCACCTCACCAGCCTCCCTGAGCAGCATGCAGAGCATCCACGCGGTCACAGAGGTCAACTCGCTGGGCTTGGCAACCACCGTGTTTCCCAGGGCTATGGCTGGAGCGATTTTCCACGTGAGCAGGTACAACGGCAGATTCCACGGGCTGATCAGCCCAACTGGCGAAACACGTGCACACCAGACACGCTCATTATTCGTCGACCTACACGGTTCAGTACGTGAGCCCACACACGTATGGGGGGGCAAAGTAAAGCGACCAGTTTCCGCAGTGTGCCGGAGCTCAGTATGGCAGGAGGTACAAGTCTTGTACTTGACCCTTCGCTGGGAATGTTATATTACAGCCGATTCATGCTTCTGATGTAAGCACTCAAAATTGGTGCCACTGTTTTGTTCCACAATAAAAGTAAAACATTGTCCTCAAATCATGTTTAATTTTATTCCAATAATCAACAGTCTTTGTGTCGGACATCAAAGTTATTTAAAAGTTGTTTCTATTTTCAAAATGTAAGAATCCAAATATTTTATATGTTCACCGCACTTAACACTAATTTCCATTGTGTGGAAAAAACATTAAAAGTAAAACAAACTTAGATTCACCCAGTGGCTTTATACAAAACAAACTCAAGACACTTTGTATATGCAGACTAATACGAATATGCAATTGGCTAACATCACCAGCAGCAATTTTAGACTATACAGTTTTATGAAAGTCAATTGATATCCATAACCTACAATTGCATTACCAAAACCACAGTTTTGCTCTCCGAAAAAATATTCACGAGTCTATGATAGTATAAAAAAACATAGTACAATGCCAAACGACAAAACGATACACGATCGAGTAATAGCAGTTCTCACCATGCCAACGTGACCGACTACTACATCATGCCTGGTGTTCCCAGTTAAGAATGAACTCAATGCCCCAAACATGAAGCACTGCGGCTCGCTCGCAAACTTTCCTGCTGTCCGTGTGTGCAATGTCCTGCAAATGTTTCACGCCAGGCGGTTACGTACCCACTCCAACGGGACTGCGCACCGTGTAGTGCATGCAGCCCACGTGGTCAGCCTGCGTGCACTCGGTGGTGTAGTGCTGCACGGCGGACGCGAAGAACCTGAAGTTGTACGCGGCGCGCGGGATGTCCACCGTTCTCGCATGTTCCACTGTTTTTCCTGCGATGACAGCGAAAGACGCTCAGAGTCGACCGGAACGCGTAGGGCGACGTACAATCGTTTGGTACTCAGTATCACGCCTCTCGCACAAGCGTACGACACAACCCTTGCAGCGCAAACGGAATGAAGAAGCACTATTGAGCAAAGCACAGCATAAAGGTAGTAAGTAGCACACCAACTTAAAATTCACAATTTATTTCTCAGACAACCAACAACATTTTATAGGCAGACCACTTAAAAACGAACTACTAAAAAAACCCATTTTATTTTATCAGGTAAAGCCCACTGAGCTATATAGCTCTTTTTAATAAGCAACCTGGCCACAAATGATAGCCCAACAAAGTGGTTTATCATGTGGAAATTTATAGCAGCCAAATATTCTCAAAGCATTTTACTAAATGCGGAGGGAAAAACCGGAAGACCCGGAAAAAAAATCCATGTGATCATGGGGAGAGAGAACACACACACTCGAAATATACAGCAGGTGTCAGGGTCGGGATCGGGATCGAACCCACAACCTCCTATATTCCAGGCAAGGTAGTTAACATCTCGCCACTTGAGCACTTAACCCTACTGCACCCCAACATTCATGTATCATATAATTATATGCAAATTATAACAATAATTTGCATATACATGTAATTAATTCTAACACACACAGCTTTGATGAGTGTAACATAAGTGCAACTGATTGTTTCATTTTATCATTGCGGTACATGGCAACTGTACACCGAGATTCTAGGAGGCTCAACAGTGAAGAGCGCCAAGTGGGCTGGGCTCAATCGGGCCAGCCGCTTTGATTATACCAGGTTCTCAAGTGTAATGAGTTGATAGTCTTGGTCGGGAATTATTGCATATAGTAATGTTGCATTGGTTTTGTGCTTGATTCAACTACATTCCAGCTCTGAGAAGAAAAAAAAACAGCCGGTAGAATGTCATGTGATTAACATTTCTTTCTGCAGAAAGGAAGGGGGCGGGAATGCTCCTAAGTATGGATCAGAGGTCACTTGAGATTCAGTCGATCTTCTGTGATATCTCCTTCCACGAACCATTCTCTAGGGTGTGATGATGCATTGCTCTGCAAGTATTCCCAATGGACTATTTTGTCTCGGTACACGATGCCGATAGCATAATATTGATACATTTCGAGAAAGGGAACAGAATTATAAAAAGATCCTCCAACTCCATTGTTAGTGAAGCCCCATGCTTATTGATGCCACCAGGGCTTTTAGTTTGGCCAGATAACATGCCCTGACATTTGGGATGAGGCCAGCACTCATAAAGCAGCACTGCAATCATTATTTCATTCATTGTGTCAGAGTCAAGGGCAGGTCTGAATGTCAAAACACAAAGGTCTGTTTTCCATTACTGCACACTCACGGCCTTTCATCAAGTTATAAATAAAACCTATCCGATGGTTTATGAAAGTGGCACAGTACAGTGATTGCAAAACAATCATTTAACCAAATGAGCACCACTGTATGCACTTCATACTGTATGGAGAGTATACAGTATAAAGTGTACACAATGGCACTCAAATGATCAGCAACCCGATTACGCACGATTTCTGTTTTCCATGGCCAGAATCTATCAGTAGAAACTCCTATTATAAAGGACATTTATTTTCTGTTATTCGTGGCCATTTCACAGATAAGGGGGTGGAGGGGGGGGGATTATTGATATCCGTCTTCATCCACGGCACACTAAAATGTTTCCACTGCTGGCAAAAGTCTGCGATTAATTAGATACTTTGCCGATAAAGAGAATGCACCGAGGGCGACTAAAGCGGAGACACAGCAACGAAGGCAACTCATGTGTAAAGGTGAGACGGAGTATTGCGTCGCAGAACCATTAAAAGAACAGCGACAGCATGAGGATACTTTTTTTTTACTTGCAGTCATTAGACTAATGGGGGATGATGCCATGACGAAGATGATCTTGATAAAGATAGTAACAGTGGTGATGTCAATTGGTAGATATCACATCACACTCAAGGGGCAAATCACTCATCTGCATTTATTGAGACGTTTGCACAGAAAACAGGGTTTAAAGTAGATCAACAAGGATAACAGCAGCTGTGAAGAGCACACACCCCATGTCTCCACAGCTAAGAGTGCTTTCACTCTATAATTTATTGAATGGATAAACTTAAAAGTACATAATTAAAACAGCTCGGTATTAAGAGGGGGGTGGGATTGTGTTTGACAGATTAATGAAATCGCACTTTAATGTTAAATTGGGGTCAAGTATTTTTTGTCCAACTGTGAGAGAGAATTCAAAAATGTTTGTCCAGGTATAAGTTGCCGCAATTTCAACTACCACTGCTAAAAAGGTGAAGCCAGCGGGACAAAACAGGGCCCAAGATCCCGATCTTCAAAACTACACTGCTCCTTTTTTCTATAATAAGTTTCTGTAAATGTAATACGGCTAAATATATTATCTGCTGGTTTACGCACCAGGGTTAAACACTGTTCTCCAATACTCAGGAATGCCTTAGCCAGCATGCACCGAGTTAAAAGAATTGTTTACTTAATATTGTTGATCATTCGACAATCTGTGTGCACAAACAGCTCAGAAAAAAATCATCGTATGTTTAACTTCTTTCGCACCCTACAAAGCCAACCGTGCTGATCGGAGGTGCGGAGGAAGAACAACTAAACACGAAAAAATTGTATATTTCATTAGACCTCCTTTGCCAGTACCAAAATTTAATAATAGGGGTTTTCCCCTTTTTTCTGGCAACAAAACTGAAACCTTTTTTTACAAGGATTCATGTCTGCATTAACCACAATACCTACAGTCAAAATGCAAACAACAAACATACTATGATAATATATGCACTGTCCTTGAAACTGATTGGTCCACACCAAGGGACGGCTTTCTTTTGAGCCTCGACCCAATTGGTGCTCGACCAGATGACGAAAAAAGGCTTTTTGGCGTCATCTGGCGTCATCTGGTCGAGCACCAATTGGGTCGAGGCTCAAAAGAAAGCCGTCCCTTGGTGTGGACCAATCAGTTTCAAGGACAATGCATATATTATCATAGTATGTTTGTTGTTTGCATTTTAACTGCAGGTATTGTGGTTAATGCAGACATGAATCCTTGTAAAAAAAAAAAGGTTTCAGTTTTGTTGCCAGAAAAAAGGGGAAAAACCCTATTATTAAATTGTATATTGTTTATGCAATGCCTCTTGTGCAAAAACTGTTTCCAGTTACTCTATTGTATGAGCCTGGAAACAGAAACATGAGTGGAGCCAAATGTTATTGTAAAAAAAAAACATTCCTGGTCGATGCAGTACAACATTTGCAAACGAGCAAGTTTTTAATGAACGTTCGAAAACAAATTGCAAATTTGCTCAAATGCATCTGCCAGTGACGCTTGTTAATAACATTGCATATTTTTTATACAAATTTGGTAGGCTTTACTCTTTGGTTTTTTCGGTAAAGTCACGTAGAAATAAGAAATAATAATAAAATAAAATTACATAATAGCATACGACGTTTCGATTGCAACGCAAGCTTACAAACATTCAAATATTGGCACTGCCAACAAGCAGTTAGAAATTATATGAAATCACTTGGATGGGCCACTAAACCTCATCTATTCACAAAACATGTGAGCGCCCATTTTCAAAGCGTCAAAATGTTAGCATTTGTGAAAGGTTAACATTTTGTGAATGCAAAACTAATTTACATGCAGGCAGGCAAGTCCTGCTTTGCATAATATATGTACAGTACTGTTTAATGGTAAAGGCCAACAACACGAGCATCAGCTACAGTGTATATATATAAAAAAGGGAAATTTGTGAATGTGTGTCTGTTCGAAATGTTTAGCATACTTCGCGACATGCAACAAACTTGAAATTTGGCATGTGGGTAGCTTCCAGACTGTACACGATGCAAAAAGTATAAAATAGACTTTTGTTTTGGGGGGGTGGGGGGGGGCGCAATAATTATATTTTGCATGGCAAGTGAGCGATGACGTCACATCTAAGATGTCACCCGCATGCGGAAGCGTTACGTAGTGTGCCTGCTGACGTCACGCATCCCCCCCCCTCCACCCTCCGCGTAGGCCGTGTATTAATCCAAGACAAGAATCCAAGTCTCGGACGAGTCGGGTAGTAAAGCTAGTCAGTATATATAATACATTACCGTCACGTGGCAAACCCGTGCTATGGCTTGCCATTCTTCGGTGCAGGAGAAATTGTCTTTGTTATTGTTAATAGTTATGCAGCGACTGCTCACATTAAAGAGCATTGCCGATATACACAGTATGCCGTGTTATAATCAATACAATTACACACTCCAATAACGCACTATTAATACAGCAAAGCCTTTTGGAAGCCAAACTAATTTGGGGGTGAGCATTTCCAATCATGGAGGATACCTCCCATAATAAACTAGTATGATATATAATTAGATATGTTTCCATGAGCGACACAACTCGAGTATGTACATTACTCTAAATGGAACCTTTTTGCCAGTATCAAAGTATTCTTACATTTTTTACAGTATTCTAGTTGCACCTTTAGCCACGCATTTCCATAATTTTATTCAACTGACATTGTGCTAAAGCCCAAATGCTGCAGACCGATTTCGCTTTGTGGGCTAGATTAAAGTCCACGTCAGAATCCAGGCTGAGCAGAGATACATCATTACACATGTCGTGCGCCCACCCCCTCTCTATTTAAGGCCACGACACAGAGGCATTGGGTTTATGTGTGTCTATGTTGTGTGTATACCTCTGTGTGTCTCTGTGTTGTCTTTCTCCGCTTGTGTGTCTGTCTGTGTGTGTCTCCGTGTCTGTGTTTTGTCTCTCAAATTTAGTTCTACCTGATGACGACTGCTTGTGTTGCAATCGAAACGTCGTATTCTATTATTTAATTTATTTTCTTTCTATGTGATTTTACCGAAAGAACCAAAGAGTAATTCCTGCAGTCACGGAAGCATCAAATCAAGTTTGTGTCTGGAATAGTTAATTTTACACTTCATTTGACTTTCATTTCGTCAGAAATGCACTCCGACTGATCTTTGACTGGCAAGTATTTCTCTTGAAATTCTTCATTAGTCGTGTTTATGGAAAAGACCAGCGACTGCTGCCCATGAAAACTGGGTATCAGTGTGGCATGGCTCTAGTCACACATATCCCTTTTCCACTGGCGCATCTGAGCCATGCCAGTGCGGGGCTCTCGTGGCAAGGGTGGGTTTTCCCAATGGCAATTTACCGAGCCGAGCCAGAAGCAAACTGAAACATCGGCTCCACAAAGACATCTGAATCTAGCTCGCTCAGGACCAAACACTGCGAGGGCAGGGTAAAACAACCTGGTGTCTCCTGAGCCGTACATGGCTGGCAAGGCATGATACCGCCGTAGCTCGGTTGTCAAGTGGACGAGAGGTAACAGGCGTACCCTGGTCATGGGACTCTGCTATTGCCAGCTCCTCCAGCCGGGACTCGATGAGCTCAGCGAGCCTGGTGAGGATCCTGCCGCGCTCCTGGGGGCTCCTGGCAGCCCACGCCGGGAAGGCACGCTTGGCTGCTTCCACCGCGGCGTTCACCTGCTCCCAACGGCAGCAAGAGGAGAGAGATGTCATGCAACACCGTACACTGCGCGTGTTGTTAAAAGCAGTGGCGTGCTCTCAAAGTGTGGTCCCCTGGGCCACCAGTGGTCCGTGGCACGGACCTCCCATGTGGGTCCACGAGCTGTGATGCAAATGGAGGTTGATCCAGACAATCACCTTTTTAAAACATTAAGATTTGACTTATGATATTTACATACAAATTTTAAGTTAGGCAAACCACCCATATTGAGCTACCCGCGCCATATGGTCTAAATGCCCCCCCCCCACCTCACTAAAAAACGTAAAGCTGCGTTAAAAAAAAAGTTTACACGTACGGGTAATACGAAATAATTTTGACTGCTATTTAGAGAGAAGTGAATGCGTTTTGCCATCAGGGGTGAGGGGCCGGGTGGTCCGTGGAAATGTTTGCATCGGCCAAATGGTCCGCGAGCCAAACACATTTCAGAAAGACTGCTCTAAAGTCAAACTCGTAACGTATTAGAATGCAGCTCTAATGGGAGGCAACAATGTAATTTGAAGCCCAAAGTCGCTGGTTCGTTCTACTCGCGTCGCAGATAAAATGGCCATCCTCCCGTGTGTCCACGTGGAAGAGTAGGCCAAATACCCACGAGTTGAGCTCTAGAAATTTCCTGCAGTTGGAATCCCTTCCACCGGCGTTTGCATGAACAAGTAGTATGTTCAGGGCTACACTACGGCTACCCACAACGACAATAATAAGATTACGCGCCCACACACCTCGGCTTCGCCGCTGTCGGGGACTCTGCAGTACACGTTGCCGGTTGATGGTTCAAACGAGTCCACGTGCGTCTCGCTGGCCACGAACTCGCCATTGATGTAGTTCTCCAGCACCAGCAGGACGCAGTTCCGCGCCATCTGTGCACAAAGTAGCGTGCTGTTGTTGGGATATTACAATTGCCGTTGTTGTTCAAAAGGAGTGTCCCGAGCAACTTAAATCGCGCAGCCTCAGCCGAGAGCTTAAATGCCCACGGTAGTGGCCAACACGTGCGCTCCATGTGGCGCCAAAGCAAAGGCCATTGGCCAATGAGAGCAAGGGGCGTTGCAGGGCCACGCCCACTCTAGGGGTCAACGTTCACGTGTTTATTCATTCCAGCATCCCAAGCTGAATGCGTTTACCTGTGTGTTTACATGTGATGGTGGGGAGAGGTAGTGTCGAGGTTAGCGCGCTGCGCTACCAACCTGGCAACCGGGTTCGATTCCCGCTCACGGCCAACACCAGTGACGATTATTTGAACCGGTCCTGGGCCTCCCCTAGATCGACTCAGCCTCAAATGAGTAGCAGGTGTCATGTGTAAACATCGCCTCTAGGGAGATAAAGGCGCCCGGGCGTGGTGTTGGCCACCCACCCCCACGTGTGTCGTGCCGGCCTACATAGGTACTCACTAACAGCACTTGCCCCAACAGTCTGTTAAGGCTATACGGGAGATCTTTGTCTTGATTGATGAGCTTTATTTAACCCGGTCAGATGCCACTTTAGATGAGCATGAAAATATTGGGCTGCACCTTGTCCTTTTATGCCACTGAGCCATATATGGGCGTCCCTTACCTGTATAAATTGTATGCGCTGTCTTTGAAATTTGGGATTTGCCACCAAATGACGAGGGCCAAGGTCTTGTGAACCGTGATATCATGTGATGGGGTCGTTTTTCTTCACTCAAATTGTATCCTCACAGTGCTATCTACGTCATGGCATGAAACAAACAGTATTTTGGGAACTCGCAGTGCATCGCCCCTTGTTCTAGAACAGCCCGTGGTAGGAGATATCACAGCACTGCTTCTGAAAGTGACATCTTATTCACACTAGTATGCAACACTCTCCCATCTGCTCTACCACGAAGAGAAGTGTACGTCACGTAACAGTCAACCCAGTATTTTCAATGATCCGACCTTGAATTTATCTCAATCAAATGCCAAATAAAATTTAAAGTGATTTCTTTTTTGTGAAGTAATTGTTCACTGGGCTGAGATGATATGCTCCTGACACCTTTAAAACCTGATTTAATTAATCATGGCAGGCTGTTTGGATTTAAACCCAGAATCTCAGTGGTGCCGGCTCAGTTCTGTGACCTCTGAACCACCCAGTCATCCAGACCAATTTTCTTTGTTTACTTTAATTGTTTTTTTCCACAGTTTGCTTCCAGTTCTCCTTTCGGCATCATAGCACGATACAGTACCCATTCGAACAGGCATAGCTGTGCAACTACAATGTGTTCGAAATCTTAAACTGCTTTTTAGTTCCCTTCAAGTGATATGTATTTATCCACACACTACGGTATGCACTTTCCCATACACCCTACGACAGAAAAATGTTTGCTGCATTTCAATCAAATAAAAAAATGTACTGTCACAGCTGGTATTTAGCCAAATTAAGTAAAAACTGGGCCGAGGATATTAACTTCTCGGAATCAGATGATGTATTTATACTGGAGGAATCCGATACTCTATTAAGCTCTTTTCACAGATGTCCAGCAGGGGCGGCTAAGAATGTTACAACAAACAATACACGATAGGAGTGCAAAGTACAAGAAAGGTAAGCAAATCATCAAAAAACATACAAATAAAGCTAAACCATCCCCATCCTGCCAGGCAAAGCCCACTGAATTGTTAAACTGAGCTTGGTTTGATCATAGGCGGCCAACCCCATATTCACACTCAGGATTTCAGTGTTTAGCTAGCTCAGTATTCTTCGCCTCCCAGCCTTATTAAAATAAACAGGCGTTTTTAGTAGACCGCGCACTGCAACCGGTGCCAAACGCAGCACTTGGCACCACTCCTTTATCATTTGTATGCAAGGCTGCATAACTTAAAAATAACAGGAAGATATTTTCCCCTTGCTCCTTTGTTTATATTTGCACTACCACTCCATCATAACTCTAAATGTCTGTAACAAGAGGGAAAGTGCTTCTGATGTCATATACCATATGCAAAGATTACTGGGTTTCACTTTCACATTGGAGCAATTTGCTTCCATCACTTTCTATGGCTGCTAAAAGCCATATACTGTAATGTTGCTTTGCTGTCTCCTCAATTGTGGATAATCCTTAACACAGTTTCAGTTAAATCTTGCTCGATTTATGACCATGGCCTTGGTGAGTTGAACCGTCCTTTTCATAATTAGCATTATTGCTCAGGGTAAGTATTTGTTACGTATGTTGCACAATTCAATTGTATTACACTACGTAATGTATGTTGTTTATGTACTTTTATCTTAGATGATAAAGAAATATTGTACAGTAATCTATGTCATGATTTAGTGTTCAATTCTCTTCACGCACCAAGTGCACTGCAATTAGCATAATGTATATAGAGTATGTGTTAATTATTTTGGGCGATTTATAGCGATGCTTTTAAACAATGCTTCTCTAGTAATTGAAACAAATGAACTGTGGAGAGAGGGTCGCGTAGTGCCCTCCAGGCATTTACTATCAAACACTGAAGGATCCCCATTAAGGGCTTTTAGGTGGCTTATAAATTTTAACACGAAGATATTATAAAGTGTGAACCAGTAATAACAGAGACAAAGCGACATCTGCCGACAGCCACGGAAGAGCCAAAAGCGCCCCAGTGAGGATTTGCTGTAATCACAGACCCCTAGTTGAGACAACCATTGCCTCGGGGTAACCCCCTAGTGTTGCCCTCACCCCGACTCTTGTACACAGAGTAAATAATTTACTGCTCACTTGTAATGATCAGTGTGTGGGCGGGGGGACTGAAACCGGGGCTCTGAAACAGCTGAGCTCAAAGGGGTAACAATGTTAGATGAATGCCATATAGATAAAGTATCAGATGGTACCATTGACCACAAAATCAAGCAGATCTTCATTAGCATCATCAGCTATCGTCAATGCACTGCTAGGTGAAGGTCTCCCCAAGCCGTTGCCATCCTTCATGATGCTGCAATTCCAACCCTATCATGTTAGCAGACAAGGTTACGAAAGAAATGCTTTACCATCGACTACATACAGACTGTCATTCAGATTCCGGAAAAGGCAAATTTATTTCACATATCATACCTAGAATTTGCAGAATATGAAAAGGCAATTCGACGCAGTGGAAATTTATGCAGCCATCCAAGGTCACAAAAACCAAGGCCTTCATGAAAACATATAGAAAATATAGGGACCGTTTACAAAGAGGGAACTTTTACAATAATATTGTATGAAGATCACAAAAAAGACAAGCCAGAAAATCAGTTAGGCAATGAAATATGCCCTTACCAATATTATCTATCACAACATTAGGAAAGTTATTCTAAAGATTAAATTTGAGAAATAGAAAGAGTACCGTACTGTATGAACATAAATGCAGAAAGCAAAAGCCATCTCAGATTTGGTGAGGAAATAGTCATTATAACAAAAAAATAATTAACTATGGAAACTAATGGAATAACTTAACAAAAAAATTCCACAGAGTTGGGGTAAATATATATTAGCATAAGTCATGTACAACAATTTTATAAAAAGCAATAATTGTTGGAGGGATAATACTAGAAAACAGCAAAATACGATTACCTAAGGCTATTGTTGATATAGTTTGGCGTGAAAAGCATTAAATAAAGTGAACATGTAGTGTATCGAGTATTATTAAAAGCTGGGATTCAATAATGTAAAGCAACAAACCAATGGGCCTAAAGAAGAACTTTAGCAATCAGTGCACATTACCTGAAATGCGATATGGATCAGAATCTGGAAAAGTACACTCAGAAAAGATATAAGATAAGTGTGCTTCAAATTACACTGAAAGATATAAAAAGGAACCCATGGATGAGGGAACAAATACAAAACAGGAGCATCATTCATAATAAAGGTGTCACCTGGTCGAGCACCAATTGGGTCGAGGCTCAAAAGAAAGCCGTCCCTTGGTGTGGCCCAATCAGTTTCAAAGACAATGCATATATTATCATAGTATGTTTTTTGTTTGCATTTTGACTGCAGGTATTGTGGTTAATGCAGACATGAATCCTTGTAAAAAGGTTTCAGTTTTGTTGCCAGAAAAAAGGGAAAACCCCTATTATTACAGAATAATCATTTTTGATTTAAAGCTTTCGTGACTGCAGGGATTCATGTTGACTATTCAGGAAAGTAAAAAAAGATCACGAAAGCCAATGCAATTGATGCCGCAACATTTTACCATCACTTTCTTCATTCTGCGAGATCCCATAGCGATTGGACAGTTGATACTGACCTTCAAGGTCTGCTATTTTTAGTATATGGGTGCCCCTTTATGATGTGGTTGCTCCTCTTTCTGCACAATTTACATTGTTCCTGATGATGTCGATTCCATTGTGTAGGCTTAAACCTAAGCAGCAGCTTTAATGCAACAAAAGCCAACCAATTTATATGCCCCATGCTTTGTATAACGATGGTCAGTACAGTACTCATCTCCTGCCTTGGATATGGGCACGTGGCCAAAGGTCTTCTTTCATCTACCTGGATGCATATCACCTTATCAGACTGTGCCCTGATCGTTTATCCAGGAATTGGGTTCAGTTGATGTTGCTGTAGATTACCTCAAAGACTCTGTTGAATTTTAAAAGTTCAGATTGGTTATAGTTGATGGTCTAGTAGTTTTTTTTTTAGTATGCTCATACATTCTTATAATTATGCAATTAATATGGATAATGGTGTTTACAAAAAAATCAAGGAACCACATTGGCAGTTGTACACAGAAATTAAGCACCAAATTCGTCATTAACATTGCCTTGTAACTGAAGATCTAAAATTGTAACCATTAATTGTAACTTTTATTTAATAAGGCAGTGTTGATGACGAATATGGTATGTTTGTTTTGTTTCATATGGTTAGGTGGTGGAAATGTCCAAAGTTCCTATGGCAGATATCCAAAGAACCCTCTATTGAAGTAAACCAATAAAGTGTGTGGTGGTGCACACCTGTAATCCAGCACTGTGGAGGTGAGGGTTAATGGATAATGTTTTGAAACTCCCTTCCCACGGGTGTCGACGTGATACATTATACTCTGGTTTGCTAAAAAGCAGTACAGAACATGTGGACTAATCTGCATCTATTCCCTCTGTATGCGTGGATTTTCTCCAAGTTTTGATTTAAAGCTTTCGTGACTGCAGGGATTCATATTCTTGGTTCTTTCGGTAAAGTCACGTAGAAGGGAAACAATAAAATAATAAAAATTTAAAACAAAATTCTCACGACGTTTCGACTGCAACACAAGCAATCATCATCCGATGATCATCAGATGATTGCTTGTGTTGCAGTCGAAACGTCGTGAGAATTTTGTTTTAAATTTTTATTATTTTATTGTTTCCCTTCTACGTGACTTTACCGAAAGAACCAAGAATATTTCTCCAGGTTCTCTGTTTGCTTCCCAATTGGCCGATAACGCCTTAATATAAACAGGACCGCAGAGCTTGGGAAATTGTTGCACCACCGCTGCCTTCCAGCGTGGTTTCTCACGCCTCAGTTGTGAGAAAAGTGTGCGTTACAAGTGAAAATTATCGTGCGTAAAGTATGGAGTTCAGCATTTGCAATGTAATTGACAGCATTTGTCTGAAAGTCGCATTAAATGGAGATGTGGCCCTTTTCGGACATTGCACGCAGCACGGGAGAAGGGGCCGACCTCCCTCTTGGGCCGGAGTTAGATGCAAGTATTCGGTAGCATTTAGTGCTTCTGGTGACGGTACCGTGGATTGCGTTGTTTCGCGTTTTCTATAACTCTAATTTCGGTATTCCGCTCGGGTTAACCGGGGCGCCTGTTGCCCTGGCAACGTTGGTCACGGGGCGCGCGCGCGTGCTCGCTCTTTTCTTGTCACGCGCAGGGAGCGTCTGGGCACACCCCCCCTCCCCCCCCGTGTGAGCGGAGGGGCGGGGCGGGGAGGCGACGGAGTGGGTTGAGGGGAGGGGTGAGGAAGGAGGGCGGGGGTTGTGGAGTTGAGTCGCGCGACAAACGGGCGGGGCGGGGCCGGTGGGGAGGGGGCGAGAGAAAGGGTGAGGGGGGGGGTTAAATAATCGGAGAGGGCGGGGGCATTATGAAGGGGCGGGACTAAAGAGCGGTGGGTGGTGGAGGGGAAGGGGGCGGGGTCTCAGGACTCGGGGGGAAGCGGGGCGGGGCATGAATAATCAAGAGGGAGGGAGGGGCGTGCTCTCGGGGGCGGGCAGGGTGGAGGGCTGGGGGCAAAGTTAAGCGCCAAGGAGGCGGGGTGGCGGGAATAGGGGCGGGGGGAGAGAATGGAGGCGGGGGTTGGGGAATTGTGGCGGGGGGAATTAGGGGCGACGTGAATTGTGGTGGGGGGGGGCGGAACTTGTGGTGGAGGGGGGGGGCGGGGAAACTTGTGGTGGAGGGGCGGGGGAACTTGTGGTGGTGGGAGGGGGGCGGGGGAACTTGTGGTGGTGGGAGGGGCGGGGAAACTTGTGGTGGTGGGGGGGGAAATTGTGGTGGAGGGGCGGGGGAACTTGTGGTGGTGGGGGGGGGGCGGGGGAACTTGTGGTGGGGGGGCGGGGGAAATTGTGGTGGGGGGGGCGGGGGAACTTGTGGTGGGGGGCGGGGGAACTTGTGGTGTTGGGGGCGGGGGAACTTGTGGTGGGGGGCGGGGGACCTTGTGGTGGAGGGGGCGGGGGAAATTGTGGTGGGGGGGGCGGGGGAACTTGTGGTGGGGGGCGGGGGAACTTGTGGTGTTGGGGGCGGGGGAACTTGTGGTGGGGGGCGGGGGAACTTGTGGTGGAGGGGGCGGGGGAACTTGTGGTGGGGGGGCGGGGGAACTTGTGGTGGTGGGGGGGGCGGGGGAACTTGTGGTGTTGGGGGCGGGGGAAATTGTGGTGGGGGGCGGGGAAACTTGTGGTGGAGGGGGCGGGGGAACTTGTGGTGTTGGGGGCGGGGGAACTTGTGGTGTTGGGGGCGGGGGAACTTGTGGTGGAGGGGGGGCGGGGCTCTAGGGCCCTGCGCGTCGCTTCGCGCCTCACAGCCTCCGAGCCGCGACCCCGGGCGCGCCGTCCCCGACGTTTCGCGCCCGCCCACCCGCCAGGCCGCGGGAGGAGGCCGCGTGTCCCCGTCCAGGTAGAGTGATCACATCCACCCACGCCTGCTTGTTGCCGCTTTGTCAGCTGCTATCATCAGCTGATAGGCTAACGATGATGGCAATGTGATAATACATAGTGCGTGCGTACATACGTACGTGTGAATTAGTTAAAAGTAGTAGCGTAACAATATATATCTACACATGTAGATAACGACAACGTTGTGATTACACATGCCCCTGGTTGGTGTTAGTACACTAGGAATGACTGTGGGAGCGTACACAGATGTCTGGTAGACAACAGTGATAGCTCTACGACCAGGCAATACATATAGTAATATACATAAATAGCATAACACATAAGTACAACAACGCGGGTATTCATACACTAACAGCAACATCATGACACTATACACTTAGGTTTTAATACACAAACAATAATAGTGTAATGACCTAAGCATATATGTTAATACATTAAAAGCGTTATGTACGCAAACGTTTTTCACACTTGTTATATGCATATTTTAACACACACGTGTGTTAGATACATTTACACAGGTCCTGCCATATACATATTTAAGCTTACATACATTACACACATGGTATATATACAGTACCTACATGTTATACACAGTATACACACACACTTGCATATACACATTTTTTTACAGTATGCACATGTTATAATCACACACACATAGGTTACACAGACATTACCCACACGTTAGACACGTTATATATACACACACACACTTGCAACAACAACATACGTACAAAATATGTGTATACAGTACCCACGTGTTACATACAAACATTACACACCTGCATACACGCAAACAAAACGAACACGCATGGGTTGTACCTACAGTATCCACGTGCAATCGTGCACGCGTTATGTACCGTACGTGTTGTACACAAACACAAGTCACGTACATCTGAAGCACCTTTGTGTTACATCCACTGCTGGGATGAGGGCTACCTCACGTGTGTCTCACACACACACAACACACACGCTGCGATAGACCGCATGCAATTCCCACAACCGTCTTTAACCGTCGTGAGCATGTACCAGTTATGATACAGAAAGCACGCCAAATGTCGCAAACAATTGCTTAACGAGGACAACGCACGTGTTTGGCGAACACACTCGCCGTGCCGCGGTGCAACTTGAACGACTTTTTTAACGTTAAAAACCAGCCCGCGTGTAAAAGTTGCCGTGGTGACGTGAGGGGCCTACGCGCCGCCTAGGCCTCGCTCGGCGGGTCTTGGTTGTTTTTAAGTTAATATTACTGTGCTGGTCAATGTTCCACTGTTTTGGTGTTCGTTGTTAAGTGTTGCGTATTGACCGACGGACGGACAGCCTGTGTGCCAAAGCTCGCTTCTGACTCCGTTACCGCCAGGGGGTTGGCTGGACACGAGCGGACGGGCGTGGTGCTGCCCGTTGCTGTGTTTTCTAATTATTGTTTTTCTTTATACGTAACACTTCTTCATACGTACATATTGGTGTGTGTGTGTGTTCGTGTGTGTAATGGATCGAGTGCTCAGAATCAAGACTAGGACTTGGACTATTATGCACGTTAAGATAACTAAAGCAGAGACAAGGTTCTATCTTGTCGGCATGAAAAAAACAAATAACACTTAGATCCCTCAAAATATAGGCCTTCTGGATCAGAGTTTCCCCAACAGTCTTTGTTTACGCAGCAAACCCTTGACCGTTTCTGCCTTGTTTGAGCTTCATCAGCAGGGTGTCACCTGCTGAACAAATTGTGCCGTCAAATATTGGTCCAGAAAGTCCGGTGGTCTGATCGTTATTTTAAAAACACTGCGGCAAGATGTTAACTACCTCACCTGGTATACATGAGGTCGTGGGTTCGATCCCGACCCTGACGGCTGCTGTATATTTGGAGTTTGCATCGTCTCCCCGCGGTCGCGTGGATTTTTCTCCAGGTTTTCCCTCCACATTTATAAAAAGTGCGTTTAGAGTATTTGGCTGCTATTAATTCACACATGATAAGCCACTTCTTTGAGCTATAATTTGTGGCCGGGCCGCTTCTGAAAAAGAGATATACATTATAGGTCAGTGGGCCTTACCTGGTAAAAATAAAAAAAATAGTTTAGTTTGAGTTTAAGACATTTTTGGGCTAAGGCTGTTTGCCTCCTGTTAGCTACAGTCCAATACTTTTGGCGAATGTTTTGTTTTATATTGAGTGTTTGCATTATATCGTTTAAAAATGCAAGTCAGTGTTAATCTTACTGACCCAAAAAAATAGCAACTTGAAGTTCACACTAGAATAATTACAATGCCTTCATTGCAATATTAATGTTGCTATATTTATGATAATGATGCGTGTAAAAGCTTCATAATATCCAGACATTTTCATTGACATGTTTGTCCAATTCCCACAATAAGGAGTGTTTAATCGCAGGTCTCCTTTGAAAAATAGCCTTGTGGGCTCAATGGGTGCTCTTATTCGGTTACATCATCATCTATTTACATCATAAAATACTAAACCATAAAACCAATGCAATAGCATTAACGAATGTAATGCAAAGTTTAATGTACAGCCCTTTGTCATCCATTACTAGATGACCCACCCCAACTGGATACTTGTGAACAAGAGCTTTGTAGCGCATTGGATTCCTCCAATATTAATAAATATTATGATTCAATGCCTTTCGGTTAAGGCGGTTGTTTTCCTGTATAGTACTCCCATCACGCTGGCCAGTGCAGGTTGGTGGAGGGAGTGACCCAATACTGGTTTAAATATCACTCATCACAGATGTTAGCTGTGGCCGGGAATTAAACTTCGATTTCCAGTTGATACCACAGTGTGCAGACCACTATGCCACCACTCCCCCATCATATAATACTGTAGTAACTAGATTCCAGATACTGGACTGTAATTTCATGGAATTAGGTGCTGTGATGCAATCTTGGGGCACTGCTTGTATATTGTGCCGTTTGCAAGTTCCTCTCCACATTGAATTTTGCTGCTGGTCCTCACAAGTGACTTTGTGTGACTGTCACGAGGTCACCCACGTGAGATCTTCAACTTTATGGGTCTAAAGGTGAAGCCATGCATTCATGAAGGAGGTCAAAGACCTCATTTATTGACCAAGTGGCTCTGTTGGTGGGGTTAGGAATCGGGCTGGGACTACCAGGTTTGTCCATTTTAAGCGTGGTCTACACAATAAGACTCTTTAGCATCCCTAATCGACCAGCTCTGCAAAAACTACAATAAATAGACAGAATGCCAATTATGCTTAATATAGTAATGCACTGCAACGTTTGACTTTTAAAAAATATTTGCCTGAGTAATTAAGCATAACTGAAAAGACAGCGCTTCTAATTGCAAGTAATGTACCGTCAATTTGTTCTGGTAGCCCACATAAAAGGGGCCAAATGCATTTCATATCAAAAGGCATTAGCATGAGTAAACTTAATTTACTTACCTTTCCAATTAGTTGGCAAATGGATTTAACTTTGGTCCAAGCTCTGGCGTGTTACACATTCCCAATCCACTGCTGGACAATAAACTTTCGATGCTGACAGTTCTACCTCCGTGCTTGTGTAAGTGCAATAAATTCCATGAGTTGGGGAAGCATTTCCTCCGTGAGGGCCAAATAGGACTTTGAAATATATTTGGTAAACCGCACATTTTGTAATTATACAATAAGAATACAAAATATGGTGAAGGCTTACCTTTACTACACACATTGATGTCGGGTCACAGTTGCAACATAGGCACGCGGCTAAGATACCTGCGGTGATAAGTATAATTTGTGACCCATTTTTAATGTTGGGCCGCATGTAGCTGCAGGCCATATGAAGCGGTCTGGCCTATGGGCCATCGGTTCCCCAATCCTCCCATTCAACATCATCAGCCCAGATCAGCCCACTGCTGGTTGGAGGCCTCAAATCATAGCCATCTCTCACGGTTCTGCCATACACTTTACTGTATTAAAAGCCAAGACATCTGTTGCAGGAACCTGGTGGTGTAGGGTTGGCGGCAACAGGGTGGTGCCATGGCAGCCTTTGAACGCCGGCGTTTTCGCGATGCTCGCCACTCCAGCACGCTGCTGCGCCTGCTGAACGACCAGCGCATGGAGGGCGGTGCGCTGTGCGACGTCTCGGTGATCGTCGAGGGCGTGTGTTACCCCGCGCACTGCTGTGTTCTGGCTGCGTGCAGCTCTTACTTCCGTAGGCTGCTGTGCGGCCACCCAGGCACAGACCGGCCGGCTGTCCTGCAGCTCGACTTTGTGCGCCCGGCCGTGTTCGAGGCCGTTCTCGCTTACATGTACACGGCCGAGATCAGCGTCCAGCCCGAGGACCTCGAGCTGGTAGTGGCGTCCGGGCGGGCGCTCGGCGTGGCCTTCGTCGATGAGATCTGTGCGGAGAAGCGCGGTGCGTTGTGCGAGGGCCACTCCTGCCAGCCGATGCCGTCGTCCGTGGCAGGGTCCGCTCCGCGACCCATGCCGGTTTCACCATCGGAGGGACGACGCAAAGCGCGCTACCCCTACAGCATCAGCGATCGCATCCACCGGCCCGTCATGGCACCCTGCAGGTAGCTGTACCGGTCAACACGAAATGTAGGGAAAATTTACAAGGAAGGCAAGGCATTGATTTAAAAAAAAATTACAACACTTTGCCAAATCACATTTTGGTTGTAAGAGCTGTTGGGCACTCTTATTTGGTTATAAAGGTCGTCGTAAAATTGTATCAGGACATGTGAGAGCGTAATACTGTAATGCGGTGACATTGAGTAATGTAACATGAAATTTAATGCACTGCTTGATGAGGGCCTCCTCATGCTGTGGGTCGTGGGGTTTAATTGACCAAACTTTAGCTCACTGGTCAGTGCAGGTTGGTGAAGGGTTGTGCTGAGGACCGGTTAAGATACCCCTCGCCAATGATGTAAGCCGTGGAGGGAATCAAACTTGATTCACTGGGTTCATAGCACAGTGTTAGATTGCCTTTAAATCAAATATTTTCACTGGCATTATGCTACAATGTGAGATTCATTTTTTTATTGAAAGGTTTGTTTAAAATAAGTAAATATTTCCCAAACAACACTCTTAAGCCTCATGAATGCAGTTCCTTTTGGAAGATATGCTTAATGTGCACTTTCGTGTGTTCCATGCAGTGGACACAGAGAAAACCTACCGATAGAAGATTACCAGTCGGGTATCTGTTGACAGTGAAGATTCACGTTTTGTTTTTGTTGGCTATAGCGCAACATATCTTCCCATATTTCACTCGTTCTGGCTTGTTGCAGTTCAGGCTATGCTGATAAAATAATAAGTAGCTGTGGAATTTTCTCAACGTGGCAACTGATTTTGTAGTTGTATTATCAACTAGCTGGTTATGAATTTGTGCCTCAAAACATTTCGAAGCCATTACTTTGGTTGTAGCAGCACTGGTGATTTATAAATGTCCCATGTTACATTCATGTGAGGCATTCATACGTTATTTATATAGTTTCTTGGTAAAATGTTATTGAGTCAATTATTTGTTTCATTGCCATGCACGGGGATGGCAGCAGGCATAGTGTAATTGTTCGAGAGAGGCACATCAACTAAATGAGGATGTTTATAAAAGCAGCATAGATGTTTAGGTTATTTTATGTTCTTATTACCGGCTGTCTTGTGACATGTACATATCCAGTAAAATCACTTTGTCAATCCACTGCTTGATTAGGTCCTCCCCCCATGCCGTATCGGTCACGTGGGTTATTTGACCATATTTCTCACTAGTCAGTTTGGGTTGGTGGTGGGAAGCATAGCCGGGGGTGTATGGTACAGTAGCACAATGGATATTCTGCACTGCTGTCTGCAATTTAGGCTGTCTTGTGAATCTGGAAAATATATTAAGTTGATGAAAGGAAGTATTGCTTTAGTTTCACTGTTTTTTAAACAGAGATGAAACTCACTATCATGTGCTTGACCACATCTTTATAGCTTTTTTCTCATTAACATTGCTTTAAATTGGTGTTGGACAATCAGATCGCAGCCTCGGTACTAAACGACAAGAAACAATCTATTTGCTGCATTTCATCTTCATTTAAACCACATTTCGACCGCAACCCAGATCGAGTTATTGCCAATCAGCAGATGATTGAAATGTGTTTTTATTTATTTATTGTACTGCCTATATCTTCATAAGAATAGAGCAGTTATAGGGAAACCTGGATCACAGTAGGCCACGTTTCAGGCAATGGCCCTTCCTCACAGCGTGTACAAATATATGAGACACATTTTTTTCTTCTAAGGAAGTGTTATTGAAGAATGTTTTTTTTTGGTTCTTTGTGCTTCTGCACTACTGCCATTGAAACGTCACCCAATAATACGGACCACAGTAGTGCGGTGGAGACAGTATTTGGACTGCTGTTGCAGAGCTGTTGTGAGAACAATGCACCTTTGTTGTAGGCATGTAACGATTCACCCCCTAGCAATGTCATTAACTGCCACTCTTTGTGGGTCACGATTCAAGTCAAATCTATTCTATTTTGTCTCTTTATTATTGTTTCTCCTTTGTTGCTGCCTCTACATTTTTTTTGCTTGAGATGCACTGAAAGGTAACGGCATGCCACTTACATGTAATCTGCATAGATTGTAAGTGATCAATCCTCACACACATCAGTCAATACCGTGTATCAATCGGCGAATCGGTGCACAATTACGCGCCCGCTTCTTTGCGGTCGGTCGCTTTGGCGTGCAGGCGTCGCTCGCATGACTGCCTGGAGGCGGAGAAAGGGCAGGGAGCCGCTGCCATCGTCGTGAGCGGGCCCTACTCGGGCAGCCTTGGCGAAGCGCTGGGCTCTGGAGTGAGCGGCCATGGCAGCAGCTGCGAGCACGCGTGCGGCGTAAGTGGCGGCCTCTACCGCTGCAGCACACCGGGAGCCCTCGCCGGCCCTGTGGCGCTCGCCTCTGTGGCCGAGCAGTCACGCCACCACCACCACCACCACCGTCACCTGATGCCAAGCGAGCAGGACTTCCTAGGCGGAGAGGACATGGACGCGCTGCGCAAAGCTGCCGTGGACTCGGAGGCCACAGAGAACCTGGACTACTTCGTGGGTGTTGGTGGCAGCGGCGGCGGTGGTGGCGGTGGTGGCGGAACGTACTTCTGCGAGCAGTGCGGTCGTGCGTTCTCGTCCGAGCCGAGACTGCGTGCTCACGAGCAGCACCATGTTGCCGAGCGGCCATTCACGTGCGTCATGTGCGACAAGGCCTACATGCAGCAGCCCCATCTCAGAGAGCACATGAAGGTGAGTGTGTGTGCCAGCGTTTTGGTGTAAACTTTAATTCATGACAATAATACAACAACATCGAATTGAAGCTGAATAAAGCAGATCTCATACAACCGCCGTTATGATTTATGCAACACATTACATTACACTGGTGGGGAATGGAAACGGGTAAATTCTGATACAAGCACACTTCTGATATTAGCACACCTGGACTTGCTCCCAAGAGGTGTGCTTATATCCAGCTTCTGTGCAACGATAAGGCATCCCAAGTCAGTATCTTTATTTCATTAACCATTGCCATCATTAAAACCTGCCTTTTCAGTGACAAATACTTATGTGGGGTGGGAAGGGGTGCCACAGCTAAAAATATCTTGCAACGTTTCAAATCGAGAGGCAACTACAGAATACAGCCAAGTCGTCCTGTCAATTTACAATTTCACCACACTTCTTAAGAAAGAGGTTCCGGGCTCTTTCAAACTCTTTATCATCCTTGATGGATGTGTCCAGATGCTCTGAACGTAGCTGAGTTATGCATCTTGTTAAGTGTGGACATGGCACCAATGCCGTCTTGACTAACGATCGCTGTGGCAGAAGACATCTCGCTGCAGCTCTTTGGAGGTGGTGGCGGTTGGTCGCCATGTCCGTCATGTTCCCAGGTTTAGGGTTACGAAATGGCCTTCATTCAGTGCAGAACGTATTATGTAAATCAACGCACAAGGGTCTGTTTCATATGGCTTGCCATGTTATGGTGAGATAGAAGTTGTGATTAATATATATATAAAAAATATTTTTATGGCCATCGACCAGAAAAACCTGGACCAATGCCTTGTCGACCAATAGCTGAAACACATTAGCTTGGAAAGCCTTTTGGTCACATCGACCTTTAATGCTTTTGAAATGGATGCTTGTTTTTTTCTTTTTTTACCTCCAGTTCACTGAAACGGCACGTGACAATTTTAAGAAAGAATTAGGTTATTGACCCATTTGTGGATTTTTGATGTATTGCCCTCCTCTCGTATACAGTACATATGTGGGATTTTTTGTGACAATTTAGTTTTTCCCCCAGCACAAACACAATAAAGCGACTCTAGCAAGGTTTTCCCAGGTAAATAAAGGACTCTCATTATCCATGACTGTTTTAATCAATTATTTTCACATTTGCTGCATTACTTGACAACATTAGGATTTTCTCACTTTGTTCAGTACTAATTTGTCACTTATGACATACCCAGCATTTGAAATGATAAAGTGGGGATAGAGGTGGAGGAAGACATTTCCACGGATAGAAAAGGTTTTTTTGTTACAAAAGACTGAGCCTCAGGCAGTGGGATGCATTCTCAGGTGTTATAGGGTTTTTTTCTGACTTGGAGATCGTGATACATTCCCATTCAGTAACTATAATCTTGAGCAAATTGGAAGAAGTGGGTTAATAGCACATTATAGATAACAATAATTAGTCAGAAGCTAACAAGTGATTGGTAACATGGTACATACAAATTGGCATTAATTGAGGCCGTTCAAATCATCAGCCATGATTAATCTGCTGCTGCTGTATTAAAGCTTCCCCATCTCCACGCCAGATACACTCGATATTGTTTCTTTTTCAAAGTTAAGTAATGTTTAGGCACCTCTACTACCGCCTTTGGAGATGCAAACAGTTTACGTGTTTGCCTCGCTATTGTTTGGCCTCTGAAGCAGGTGCACATGGGCCTGAAGCCGTTTGCGTGCACGCGCTGCGGCAAGGCGTTTGCGCGGGGGCCCGACCTGAAGAAACACGAGCGCGTCCACACCAACGAGCGCCCCTTCATGTGCCCGCTCTGCCTCAAGGCGTTCAAGCACAAGTCGCACCTCAAGGACCACGAGCGGCGGCACCGCGGTGAGCGCCCCTTCGTGTGCCGCGTCTGCCTCAAGGCGTTCGGGAAGACGTCGGACCTCAAGCGGCACCTCAACACGATGCACGGACAGCACGCGTCGCCCCTGTCGCCATCGCAGCTCATGGGAGGAGGAGGAGGAGGAGGCGACGGCTCGGACATTTCTCACATCGCTGGGGCTGCAGTGCTTTAGCTTCTTGCCAAGAGGAGCCTCTGCAATATTTTGAGAAGTACAGGGCGGGGGTTTATGAACTTGTAAACTTAAAACAATGTGTCAAGTATTAAACCAAGATTTTTCTAATTCGACTTTTAAAATGATTATAATATATTCTTACTGTGTAGGTTTTTCGCAGTTGTGCTGTATAACTCTCCAATGTGTTTTCGGGGTTGTGTTGTACCTGTTCGGCATGACGTCCGCTTCGCGCGTTGGGAGCAGTGTTAGAAACCGAAACTTCTTTGGGAACGAACTCCCAGCACGTAAAGCGAAACGTCAGACGTGGTGCTGGACAACATACGGTACAACCCGAACACACATCGGAGAGCAATAATATATTATTTTTCTACTTAATGCACTCGACATTGCTCTTTCGTTTTTGTGAGAATTTAATGTAGAGATTACCAGGTGTGAAAATGTCAGAAATGTAACATTATTTGGTTAAAGTTGTGCCCTGAAGCTTTATTGCTCTGCGTTTTCTCTTGACTCGCGATGTGTTTTTTGAACAAACTTTAGCTTTGAAGTAATTATATAACTGTTATGAATTTTGGTTTCACAAGTGGCCTATGCCCGAGTCATTGGATTTGTAATTAATGAAGAAACTTTTAACCATATGATCTCGCAGTGGAAATTAAATTGTTAGAGCTTCTTGCAGAACTTCAGGCATTATTTAAAATGTTATTTAAAATGTGATAAATGTGTGTACAGTAATTTTAGATAGGTAATTGTACAGACTTGTGCCGATTACATGGATTTAAAAATATAGTTTATAAATATTTACATTTTATCCATCTGCTTGCTAGGTTCAAAATGCGGGGGGGGGGGGAACGATTTATTGGACTGACACTTTTGATTTGCTGCCAGTACCAAGCTCCATTAAAAAGCATAACCATCTAGGTGCGGTATTAATTTTTTGTCGGCCTTTCACTGCTACATTTCTTTATTTTAATTGTAAAGGTTAAATTGTGGTAGCTTGGCAGAATTGATGGCCGGGTGAAATATAATAAGCATATTATAACACTAAATACTTGCAGAACATTACTTAAATTTTAGGAGGGTCCTGTATTGGGATGGTTGGTAAATACGGTTGATGAGCGGGATGGTTTAATGTGCGCAAAAACTGAAGAACCCAGAGAAAGTCGTATATACAAGGGTCTGACACGTCGCATGTAATCTTCTGACCGTCTGGCAGCCCCATGCCTACATCACCTGGCAATCTGTGCTGGTCTCCCATCCTATTACTACGAACCGAGCTCAACCCTGCTTGGTTTTCAAGATCTGATGAGATTGGGCTGTATCTAAGGTGATTTGGACACGAACATTTGTTAAAATGTATTAAATAGGATTTCAGTTAAGAGTTATGTTGTGGTTAAAATGATAACATTCAATCCACTTAATTAGAGCATATATAAATCTACACGTTAAATGTACATTTTTATTTATATTGAGTACCTGCACTGGCTAACATGAGGCACTGCACTAATTGTGTTATTGGCATCGTCTGAGATGACGCCTCTTGTCTAAACACTTGAGGCATACGGCAGGAAGCCCCCCCTTGTCAAGCCCAGAATGCCTCCATTTGAAGACGCGGCCCCCAATTTCACGCGGCTTTGGCGAGTAAAATTGAAACGAGCTTAATTAATGTTCCATTTACAAATACTCACGGCTGTGCCTGTGGTAGAGCACTTTCGTTCTAAATGTTGAAAGAGCACTTCTGTGAAGCAGCACTTATGTGTTTAGTATTCGGGAGGGTAAATGCATTTGTGTTTGCTCTTTCCCATAATGTCTTGGTGTACACTTTGGCAATTGTGCAGCCTGACTATGTATGTGCTTATGAACGCTAAAAGCATGAAAAGCGGAGTGTCCACGTTTGTCGTTTTAAGTTGCTGCCATTTAAAATGTTGATTTTGAAGAGCTGTCAACTGGACAGCAGCTAAGATGTTTATAAAAAAAAAAATTATCCTTTCTCTGTACATTGTACTGTTATTTTCTTCATGTCAACAACATATAAGCTGCATCAGATGAAATATACTATTGCTGACGTTTAACGAGCTCTCCATGTTAGCTAACGGGCAGATAATTTTCAAAAAGGATTTGTGCTCTAATGTTAAGTCTGTTTACGTTGTTTTGATATTGAAAGGTACATGAAATTAAACGTTTGTTGTGTCCATTATACAAAATGTACATTCCAAAGTGTTTTTTCTTGAGCAGAACACAAAGCCAGTGATAAAAATTGTATTTACATTCCTCCTAACTGAATCTGAGGTTTTGTTCGTATCCATTACAGCGAACTCACGTGAGTGAATTGTGCATTGGTATTAGGGTGATTGGTGAGGAAGTTTTTTTTTATGTTTGTTAGTGGTTTAATCCCAGGATTTCACATTCACCAGTGCATCAGCAGATGCTTGTGTTGTACTTCACTGGAGTAAGGCGACTAGTGCATGTGGCTAATATGACTGCAGAGGTTAAAAGTTTGATTCCAGTATAAAAAATATGTCTAATTTTGCTTGGGTTTAAAATTGGTATTCCAGAAAAAAATTCTATCTGGAAATTAATTATTTTTTATACTGTACCATTGAATTTCTAACTGGAACCAATATTTCGTACAGTATTTAAATTAGAGTTTTATCGTTAATTGATAAAATGACCACAAATAACCAAATGTGTGTCATTAAGGAAGAACATTTCTTGTAGCTTTAAGAGCACGGTTGAGTACATATGGTGCGAGAGAAGTTCAAAATACATATGCAGTATCACCATTAATATCAATGGTCTAACTATAAAGACACAATGTTATCCGTTACTGTTTGTACATACAACTCTTAATTCACCCTTGGTTGAATGACTAAATAATTTTATGTGTCCAGTCCGCTGTAGTTACGTAAAGTTGGAAATTATCAGATGTATGAGATTCACGTGAACAAATAAATATACTTTGCTACTTAGCTAAATATAATCTGACTAAAGTTTCATTATATCATTCATTTATGCATGTATGTGTTATTACCCACTACATTTGTAAATATTTGCAGTGTTGTATTGCATCATTTAATTGGTACACAAATTTGCTTGCAAAATGCATTTTCTTACAAGAATAAAGGTGGATGATTTTTTTGTATCACAATTACCGAGCACAAAAGCCCAGAAAGTTAAGCGGCCAGCAACAAACAGCACTTTTTATTTAAAGCTTTCGTGACTGCAGGGATTCATATTCTTGGTTCTTTCGGTAAAGTCACGTAGAAGGGAAACAATAAAATAATAAAAATATGAAACAATAAAATTCTCACGACGTTTCGACTGCAACACAAGCAATCATCATCAGGTGTGAAAACCACAACAAGAAAATTTGAAAAAAGTGGCGTTTTTTTTTCCTCTCCAAGACAGAGGTTCTTTGCAAGCCATCTGGCTACCATGAGAGATTCGTTCATGAGGTTATCCACATATACAAACAGACAATTTCAACCGAGAAGATGGGTTCTGGCTTAGCAATCATTGGAAGGATTTGATAAACCATTTCGGGTCTTATTTGATTGATCACGCTTAAGGTGGCTTTCAGACCGCATCCATTATTTTTAGTCTCCCCCCTCTTTTCCGAACATATATGGACTCGTCCATCTGAACAAACTGTCAAATCGCTCTCCGTGGTGCTAAGGTAAAAAAAAACCTGCCATTTTTTTCAAATTTTTGTGGTTTTCACACCTGATGATGATTGCTTGTGTTGCAGTCGAAACGTGAGAATTTTATTGTTTTATATTTGTATTTTATTGTTTCCCTTCTACGTGACTTTACCGAAAGAACCAAGAATAACAAACAGCACTATTCATGGTATAAGGGTTAAAAATTGCTAGAATTGAACAAGGTCACAGCTGGGGAAAATAGACAATAGGAGGTAATTCCAAAGTCGAGCTGTGCAAACAGAGAAGTGTTTGATATGCAGTACGGTGGTTGAACACGGTAATGATGAAATGAAGCAGTCCAATAGGTAGCCGTCAGTATCGGTTGCGCGGATTCCGAGTGCAGTTTACAGAAGCAAGTACATTATTTTTTCCCCTCTTATTTTTTCCCCTCTGGCTGCAACATTTATTATAAAGATGCGGTGCGTAAACATGCCGATGTGAAAGCAACACTGAAACGATCCAGTGTCATTATTTACACCTGACAATATTACAGTGAATTTCTGTGCCTTGTATCGATAAATATTGATATATCCTCTGATGTAATGTTTGTACCTACCTTTCTGGACGAACCATTCATATGAACCTCACTATCACAGGGTTACAGATGGCGTACACCTGTCGTGCAGGTTATTTGAATTCTGCTTTTGTATAAGTGAACAGTTATTATTACAATCCCAGCGTGATTCTGAAATTACCCCAAAGGTAACTTCTAATACGCCAATAAATGCATATTATGATACACAGAGTAGTAAGATGAAGTGTTCAAGGACAGCAAATTTATACGCAAGTGTTCAGCACATGGTGCCAAATGCGATATAAAAATTCCATTATGTTTGGGTTTTTTATGGAAGGAAGTGCACTCACCTAAGTTTATCCTGAGCCAGCAGGGGATAAATGGGAAGAGCGTATGATTTAAGCGTTCCTTTGCAAGCATTCATGAATGAAAACAAAAGCATGTGCCCAACAATATAATAAGGCCATACATGAAAAGGGTGACGTGTGAAATGTAAAATGCAATGGGGACTAACATAAAGTCTGCCAAGCCATCTAACAAAAGGACACTTGGAGTGCTTCCAGACCTATTTGGGGTGCCGGCGGTGGCGAGATGTTAACTTCCTCGCCTGGTGTACAGGAGGTGGTGGGTTTGATCCTTACCCTGACGCCTGTGTATTTGGAGTTTGTATGTTCTCTTCCCATGGTCGTGTGGATTTTTCTCCGGGTCCTCCGGTTTATCCCTCCACTTTTAGAATCAACACCACGCGTTTAGAGTATTTGTTCGCAATACATTTCCACGCGATAAGCCACGTCGTTGAGCTATCATTTGTGGTCGCTTCTGAAGAAAAAAAAGAGCTATACAGCTCAGTGGGGGCCTTACCTGGCAAATAGATCAATTCGTTCACACCATTCGGATTTTATTTTAGGCAAGAGGCCAAAAAAGGTTTACGTCCTCTCTGCAATAATCGGCTGAAAGCACCATCTTTGCCTGCACATCGTGCTGTGAGCAACGTGTCAAAAGGCACATGCGATGGGACCGCAGAAATTAAAACTGAATGACATGTCAGTCGGCAGCCCAGCAAGAGCACTCAATATTTCACGACCACTACACACCAACCCCCTGGTGCTTACACAGTGGGGACGCGTGGAGGACATAGATCACCACATCTCCGGGGAAATTCTCCCGAGTCTGAATAAACACGGCTCACACACACACAGGCAGAGCCACGGCCACGGATTGGTTACGAATGATCACGGGTCACATCGTTACAAAATAATGGGTGTGTACTTAAAGGGGAATCTACGACGCTTTGAATTTTCAAGTGACGTGGGGTGAATTTTGAAAGCTGCCGTTGTGTGATGTGTGGCACGCCGGACTTGGCAATCCCGAGGTCACTGGTTCATCTTCCCAGCGCGGCTGTTGAATCGATGGTGCAAGTTTCTTAAATCTCCCGTTCTCTGTCCACCCAGCAGTGCAATTCAGGACACTACGGTCGATTAGCGTGTCGTGTGTGGTGGGGTAAAGTGTGGGTACTCCTAACCCTTTCTACGACGTCTGGCCAGCATGGAAGAGTAGGCCAACTACCCTGTGAAAAGTATTCTCTAGAGCTCCCTCGAGCGGAGGCTCTTGCACGAGCAGTCGTGTGAGCAAGAAATTGCAAGGCCGCACCTTTAGCCCCTTCACAATGTGAGCAAAATGAAGAGCATATAGCGGCATGCATCCGTCTACATCCATATAAACCTTTGCGTGCTTTACAGCCAGCAATGTCAACAACAGCTGAAAATAACGCGACTTTCTTTTACAAAAGCACGAACTGCTGCAGTAGTCCAATGCTCTTTACGCAGTGATGCCGATATAAGCAGTTCATTTCGCGTACGTGAATTAATGTGCCCAACCTCTTGTCAGATCTCGGAAGCTAAGCAAGGGTTGAACCTGGATAAATGCTTGGATGGGCGACCATCCAAGGCTTTGTAGGCAGTGGCGGGGCAGCGCAGAATGATTTGTTGTGTTGTATCTCCCCCCCCCACCCACGCCGCCTTCACTAACCTGCACTGACCAATGTGGTGAAGTATGAACAAACGTTCCTCGTAGCAAGCAAGGGGCCGTCCATAAATGACGTCACGCACCTGGGGGGGGGGGTTGAGAAACAACAGGTTCTACTTAATTAAATATACTTTTTAATAAATGTTTTCTCCTACAACATCAGAGTGCAGCGCCACATTAAATACGCACTACGATGACAATAGTTAAAAGCGATTTGAAGCATGTTTTATATTTTTTTTTGGGGGGGGGGCAGAGCTTTGTGACGTCATATTTGAGGGGGGGGGTCTGACTTTTTGTGACGCCGTGTGACGAAGAGGGGGGGGGGCAAAAATCGTCCAGAATCGCGTGACGTCATTTATGGACGGCCCCCAAGGCATGGGGAAGGCCCTCACCTAGCAGGGGATTGACCGACGTGCTGTGTGTGTTTATCGTGCACAGCACGCGTGAATAGTGCGTTTGCACGACGCACAACAGCTGTGCTGCGAGCAATACCCACGGCGCGTTTACACGGAGTGAACTCTTAGGTTTAACAGAGGTGTGCAGTTTGTCGAGATTGTTAACATGGTTAGATACACGGTGTTTGTATGTCGGGCCCACGTGGTTTATACAAAGCACACCTCTTTCATGCTGATAAGCAAAGGCAGGCCAGCTCACTTTACCACACGATTTGCTTCATTGGGACAGTTGCACGCACGCCCTAACTATAATCGGATATGTTTTTGGTGTATTTTTTCCAAGGCCGTAATTGTAATATATATTGGGGGGGGGGGATACATCAAATATGCTCAAAATGTCCCCCCCCCCCAATATATTGCTATAAAAGAGATTTCTGTTTATATGATTGTGGTTATGGTTGTACTTTATTAATCCCTAATCTCTGCCATTATAATACAATGAAAAAAAGTTTAAAAAATACAAAACAGAGCAATGTAATACAATACACTATTAGAGATTATTGTAAAAAAAAAGGTCCATCCTATGTGTTAGTGAATTTTTTTATATTTTAGGCAAGATATGGCAGGAAAATTCGTTTTCAACTTTAGATTTTTTTTCTGGTGGGGGGGGGGGACCCCAGACCCCCTGGAAGATTTCCCCCCCCCCCCCAATGTTGACTCCATGGCTACGGCCTTGATTTTTTCCCCCAGAACGCTATACCAAACGTGCGTTCCGTATCATTTCATTCGACGCGGTCTCCGTCTGTAAGTCTCGCAGGGCGGTGCGACAAGCTCCCCCCCCCCCCCGCTCGTTCGAGAACGGCAATTTGGGAGGCGGATTTGGCAAACGTTTCTGAGATTCCCTTCAGGTGACCTTTGATTCACACACACACACACCCAGAGGGGGGCACGCTTTCCATCATGCCCTGCAATGAGGAGAAAAACGTGTTTATTGGATGAGTCAAATTATGGTGAAAAAAAAGTATTTGTAGAAGTGGAATTTGGCTGAAATTAAGTGAAAACTATTTTAGTGTGATGTTTGCGTAGTCATTGGTGATTTGGCCGACATCATCAAATGTATACATTTAAGAGTACAGTTTAAACAGAGGTGGTTGTTGCTTGGATTCAAACCCAGGGTCTCAGCGATTCTGGCTGAATGCTCTCGTTACAGATCCGTCCATCCATCCACCTCAACGTCACTCAAGATATTCAACTGGAGCTACTCCGAAATCCATCAGCAAGACGTAGCATTAGAAAAGGCATTTTGAGATGAAATTGGGTTTCAAATAGGTTTCAGTGAAGAGCC